GTTACATTTTTTACTCGGTAACGAGTAACTGTAACTAGTTACTTTTAAAAAATAACTTTCCATTCCCTGATAATATATATATATATAATTATGTATATATAATAATTTTTAATAATATTAAATTATATACATGTAATTTTATCATTAATTATATATATAATTAATATATATGTAATTTTACAATAATTTTTTTATATGCTTACTAAAAAAAGCAAATATTTTGCATTTGGAAATTGAAATCTGCGCAGAACCGTATGAGATTCGTCTCGAGATGTCTCGAGTGCTCGAGTCAGCTCGACTCCTCGAGAATGAGCTCACTTGAGGTTATGTTAAATGTGCGTATATAACCTCGTCGGACACATTCATCTTTTTCGAAGATTTAGAGTGATTACAGTGAAACGTGCTTTATTCTGAAAGAGAAGATAGCAACGCAATGTCTTTACGCTCATGTGAGATTTTATACATTGACCTTTAACTTATTAATATTAGTTCAATTGAGAATATTCTACATATGCACTTGTAATCTCGGTCGCCTAGTTGTTTATCCTCTTGTAAATTTTGTTTATGTGATTATGATTCTGTGCAACTAATGACAGCGAAAAAAATTGATCCACAAGATGACATTTGTCATTTAAATAACGTTGTTAAACTCATATTGACTTAATCTATTAACTGGTTAAGTAATTAATATCTATAATACTTTATCGTTGTGATTACGGAATTATTAATTTGTTGCTGTGTGATACATGAGAAAAAAGATTAAATTAGAAACAATGAATTGAATGAATTGTATAATTAGAAATTTGACTAAAGAATTCTGTTGATTTAGAATTCTGTTAATTAATTTAACTTATGTTTGGTTGAAGGCATTTTAAAGAGACACAAAGATAAATGTTCTGATTACAGATTCGCTCGTAAGGGGAATATATAAAACATTTGGCAGAAAATTCGGTACAGCTGTTAAGGTGAAGGATGAGCAAGCGGCTCAAGCATGCTTATTTCGCACATTGGAGAACAATCCAGTTAATCACAATACAGACCACATTGCTAGACTTTATACAGTGTCAAAAGATATTCAGCAACAACTCTTTCAATATGGTGGCTTGCCTCGGTTATTTATGAAGCAAGTCATCACTTTTCAAGAGTGTGCGATATTGATTAGGCAACCTGCGATTGAAGTTATGTCTTATCTGAGCCAAACCGACTATACAAGACCTGTCAATAAATATGTATTATGTATCCTTTTGGAAATATTAATTATTTGTTTTTTATATTGCAAGATTATAGAATCACTTTGTTTTTTTCTATATTTTGTTCGCTTTTCTATATTTTCACCAGTATACTGTTTTTATAGATATATTTTATGTTTGTAACAAGCATTAACACATTATACAATAATTAATATAAGGAAATCCTTACATTTTAAATAGATGGGAAATTTGGAGTAGGAAAAAGTATTATATTGAGTCATATATTGCATTATGCTTCTCTGCAGAATTATTTACTTGTACATATTTATTGGGGTATGTTATTTTTTATGTAAATGCTTTATTACGTTTTATTTCGTTGAATTGTACTAAGTGTCATTTGTTTCTCAGGTGCGCGATGGTTCAAGGATATGAAGGAAGTTGCAACGTCAGTACTTTCTCCAGGATGCATGGATCTACCGATCGACGCTGGAATGTGGCTGAAACAATTTAAAATTCAAAACTTGAAGTTACTTTCACAATTAGATGTATGTATCTCTCGAGATATCATTTCACTGGCTATATCTAATATATGCTTGTTTTGTAGCTCAAAGTAACCAAGGATTATTCATGGAATCAACGTGAAATTACTTCCCAAAGTACTCCCATCTTAGAACTTATCGACTTTGGCATAAATCGCATGAAGTACGCTTGTGGCGTGGTGGATGCATTGATAAGAGAAATAAAGCTCGCCAGTACTGCAGGAAAATGCAAGACAATGGTGATGATAGACGGATTCAATTCGTTTACATCGAATCACACGCGCATCTTTGATGATAACAAGATGATAATTCCACCCAAAAAAGTATCGCTGGCGATACCATTTTGGGATATAACAAAAGATGATTGGTGTAACGGTGCAATTGTACTATCAGTAGATGAAAAGGCAAATAAGGTATGTATAATAATTTATAATTACGTAATTAGGCATTTCTTTATAAAATTTAATAGATAGTTGAATTTATGGAAATGGAAGCATTACTATTTCATATTTAAATTCAAATTAACAAATGGATGTATGATAATATAAGAAAGTCTTTTATCCTTAGGAACGACGAGAATCCTATCTTCCTAGATATTTGCTTGGCAAAGAGGGCTTCGAACATCTGGATCCTTTTGTTCCTATTCTAGTCGAAGACTACAACGCCACAGAATTTGACAGTATGATAGAATATTATAAGGATCGCAAGTGGATTAGGAACATAACACCCAGCGGTCAAAGAGAATTAGAATTAATTACCAATAAAAATCCGCTAGTCTTAATGGACCATTGTAAATTCTTGTAAAAGTAATTGAACATTGAGATATTTATAATAAAATTTCTAAAGCTTTTAGCGCATTTCGGTTTTTATAAATGTTATTTTTAACTTAAAAAAAAAATGGATATTTTATTTTTATTAATGGACAGCATTTAAAATTAAAAAAAATCTTTACCTTCGATATCATGGTTACTTTATTAAAATAAAACATAACAATACATAATATTCCATTCACCAAAGATATTTTAGTTTCTTATGTTAAAGATACATTATTAATAACACTAAGGATATAGGTATGACATATATATTGCATAAACGGCTATTGTAGTACATTTTTTTTAAACAATAGCGTAGGAACAACATACATTTAGGCCTGATTGCACCAATGTGATTTCGATTTTGAGCGAAACTTAAACTGTCTCTGTTTCTCTTTTGGCTTTAATACGAGATAGAGTTTTAAGTCTCGTTTAAAATGAAATAATGTTGATGCAACCGGGCTGTAGAAATACAGATAACGTTTGAGATGAGAGAGTTTCAAGCGCAATCGTCTCTGGACCAGGAATTAAACCTGGATTTTTCATTTTTTTTCCGGATAATTAGTATAGATGTATAGATGCAAAGAGAAATATTATTGATATAATCTGTTCAAAATAAATTTTTAACGTTATATTACTTAAATTTTTAACGTTACATTACTTAAATTTTTTAAATTATAGTGTATGCAGAGGATAAATCGAACATAAAAAAAGACGTTACATAATGAATAATAATTACTAACTATCGTACCAACTATGGAAAGCAGACTATAGCCCTGTTCCTTTTAGCTGAATTTGTTGCACGGTTTATTTTTTCTCTTTTTCTCTCCAGTGTATCGATCATGTAACTTTTTCTCTAGGGTGGAAACATGAAAGTGAAAATTTTTTACATGTATGTATGTATATGTTTATACATACATTCATAAAAATTTTTACTTTTCACATTTCTACTCTAGATAAAAAGTTACATGATTGACATCCAGGAAAGAAAGGGAAAAAATATGACTGTGCAAGAATTTTAGCTAAAAAGAACAGACTTTATGTCAACTGTTATTTTTAACATTAATTATACGTAAACTATCGTTAACTAAAATTTTGGCCCCATCCTTCCTAATGGCGGCGTACCGGATGTATTACATCCAACGCCTTGTCGATGTCACCATTTTGTGCAACTAACAAATGAGTAAGCCATGAACCCTCGTTGGTGAATCCCATTGCTATCATCGCTTCTACGGCGCGTTGAATCTTGGGGTTTGGATGAAACAACTCGTGTTTTACTTCTTCAGGTAAGGATGGGTAGATTCTCTGATTTGACGATTTTTCTGGCTCTGCCATAGGTGCTGTCGGCGCGGATGGTGTAGTCTGTAAGATATAGGTATTCTGAACACGTGATACATACATTTGCACAATAAAGAGGATTCAGAACTTATAAAGTAGCCATTAATACTAGACACAATAATTGTATCTATTAAGTTGAATAAATTGAAAAATCAATACTATTATTTTAGGACTGATTTTTAGTGTTAGTAAAGCAAGTGATTTATAAATTTTTTTCCTATCAGTTTTTTAAATTTTGAACTATTTTTTATATCACATATATGTTAAATTATCACATTTATTATATTCTATTGTAATTCTCTAATATATATTGTGTAATTATATTTAGAACATTTATGATTATACATACATATTATATTTAAATATTTTTATAATTTTTGATTATATTTTAGCAATTCTGTATGTTCTCTATAATTTATTCAACATATATGCGGAGCAAACCTGCTTAGGCACATTTCCATTCGAAGAAGTAGAGGAAGTGCGGCTAATACTGGGACTATCACGTTGTATCATCGTCCATTCCTCGGCTTCAGCTGCTTGTTCAGCAGAGTTTGCTGCTGCTGATGCAACTGTAGGTGTTAGCACTGCAGCTGTTGCTGAATCCTTTTGTGTGTTATCCAAAGGAGCAGCTGCGGTACTTACTGGATCGTCACGTAGTTTCTTTCCTTCACCAGGGAACTTCTTGGCGGAATCCTCTGAGGATGTTGATGCACGGGTCTCGGGCTTTTGTGCATTAGTTTTCTGAGTGGTGTCTGCAGGCTTTTTATTAGAGGAATCATTATCAGCCATTACAGTGACGTTGATGCCGAGTGGATCTAGAAATTGTGAAATGTTGGAGATGTTGTCCTCGACGATTTTCAGTAGCTGCGAGAAAGAGTGCCTTGTTGCTTCCTGTTGCGAATCTTCTGTTGCCTCAGTTGCAGCCTCAGCAGATGGTTCCCTGTGCTGTTCCTTATTCCGCTTCCGCTCGTGATTTTCGTCTGATGGACCAGCACAAATGTCTACTATAAAATTCTCCAATGAATTTATAACAGATTGATCAATAAGATCAAATTTACCATCTGTGTTGAACACTGGACAGCTACCTCGTTTGGTCTTGTTTTTGGGGCACTTACGCTCATCTTCTTTGCAATGATGCGACGCCTTCTTCACAAACTTACGTACATGATGAGCAAGACGACGTCCGTGATAGTTTGACCATTCGATTGGCTGAGTCATACGAACCATGTAATGATCTGCATGATTGCCAAGTGTCATGCAGTCGGTACATAAGTCATAATCTGGACATTGCATGCATTTGAAACGAAAACCATGTATATCCTTATCACACACATCACATATTACACCAGGATGTGATATTTTTTCTATCTTTGACACGTCTATTGCCTCTCGCTCTGATTGTAGCATGACATACAATTTACAGATCATATTTTTAGACATCTCTTTCAGTGCAATCTCTAATTCCTCATCGGTAGATATGGTAACAGTTTCATTTTCATCATCTGTTAATATAAAAGACAAGTTGAATAGTAATTGGTATATCAGATGCTTTTGTACTACATTCATATAGGATATATTTTATTTGGTAACACAAGTCGACAATTGGTTGCGTTCAGCAGAAAAAGCAGCTTTGCAACGATTGATAAAATTCATTAATACGATTGGCCTTGCCCTTAGTTTCTCATTGGATCTAAATGTATCAACCAATCATATTCAAGAATTTTACAACAGTTGCAAATCTGCTTTTTCTGCTGAATGCAGCCAAATTATGTTCTTCTTTGTTATTCTCTGAATGTCAAAAAAAAAAATAAAATGTATCGACTTGTCACTAAACGGAAAGCGCCCAGTACAAGACCATTGATAAATAACGTCAATTATACTGACGTCAGCGAGCCTCGCTGTTGAATTCCTCGACAAGATGAGAAGAAAAAAAATAAAAATCATAAAGAACTTACCTTTCCAGGTGATACTGAATCTCTTACCCCGCAGATCCGGGAAGATGGTCTGCAGCTTCTCGCGCAGATACACGAAATTTGTCACGATATCGGTGTCAATGCCGAATCTGCGCACTTCCGTGCAGGTCCATGGATCCTCGCTTATCAAGTACGCCTTGTAACTCAGCTTGTTCGCCGTCGTGTCCATTTCACGGACGTTAAATTGTTAAAATAGAGAAACGTTTAGGTAAGAGTCGTCCAAAATGTCGATATGTAATCGCTTTTCTTCCTTCTGTTTCACCTATATGACTTCGGCGCAAGTTGTACGTCGTTTGTGGAGGAGACGCCGCGACCGATTACTTTTATATGCGATCGATAATTCTCGTACATACGTCACGCTACACGCATCCAGATGTCGCAAGCGTCTTCCGACGACTCTTCGGAATGATGTGGATTCTCTCGATTCTTCCATCGTCATTCTGTACTATTTCTTTTGTTTCTTTTTCATTGATTTTGTAACAAGATTCGAATATGTCTTAGGAAAAGGATTTCGCTTAGAAACGTGATGACTTTGGGACGGGAAAAAGTCTTTTCGTTAGACAAATTTGAACAGCGGAAATCGGTCAGCGCGCCGCCATTTAAGTGAGTTTGCCTATTTTGACAGATGATAACCACGTGATCGTGTTGTATACGATGATTCATGATGGAGGTGAGAGCGTCATTTCGTTGCGCTACAGAATTGCATCATAGAGTATAACAATTTTGACGTGTTTTTTAAATTATATAAACTAGTTGTGATATTAAAATAAAATACTTTACTGAATTATTATTTAAGGCAGATTGTAAGGACATGTCCTCCGTGATTTAAAAATGCATAAATAAATAATTGAATCGTTCAACTTTGAGGATTAATTACGCATTTTTTATTCTCGACAATCCCTGATTTTGCATAAAAAATGATTATAATCGAAGACGTATATATATAATAATTTGATTAATATAATATAATTTTTAAGTATTTTACATGTTTTAAAATGACTTAAAAATGTATTTTAATTTATATTCTAGTTTACGTTATACAATTCATATTTCATTTATTCTATATTTATTATTTAATAATTTGTGAACATATTTTTACTAAAATGTCTTGATTTTATTATGATTTTGTATTCCCTCTAGATACATATATATAATATAATATTTTATATTCCCAACTGATTTTGTTTTATATTTATATTTATTATTCATTTTTTTAATTACTATCTTTTATAATATCAGTTTATTTTTATTATATTTTTTTCATTATATATTAAATAATATACATTTTATACATTTTCTATTTAATGGACTGGAGTATCAACTTCGCAAGAAGCATGGAAAGGTCCAGAAGTATTGCAACAGATATAATAGTCCAGAAGCGTCTGGAAAGTAACGGGAAAAAGTGTACATTCATTCGCCACGATTTTGCGTACACACGTACTAAGTCTAAGTATATGCGCGCGACTCATTTTCTAGATCTGTCTATGCGTACAACACATGGACGGCCGTTTATGTAACTTATTTCGCTACATTTGTGATATTACGAACAGAGTATGTATTGACGATAAGGCTAAAATAATCACATAATTAGAAATAAACGTAATTGAGAACTCCGTTGGTGCCATACATGGAAGTTGCATCATCAATGATAAACATTTAAAATAATTGCATTTTTCAAGTGTTTTGCGAAAACATCTTTAAATAAAAATATAATACAACATCGAGAGTTTATTGACAATATATAGACAATTTAGAAAAAAATTAATTACAATTAAGTAATTAATTAATTATCGCAATTAATTTGGAGATAATATATACCTATACTTTCGTGGCCAATATGTATTTATTAATTGGAATTATTTAATTGAAAAGATAACTTCGTGACTTTAAGACAAGAAATATTAGAAAACGTCTATTAAAAATAACGTCATTGATCCTCTCTAACCAAATGACGGTGTCAACAGTCAATAATTCTCTGATATGCATTAATATTGTTCATAATTAAATTAGCAAATTATGCTGTAGAACATATTACCGGTCGTTCGCACAGTTATTGCTCAGTCATATACTGGTACCATGATGATTACTAGACGAATTTGATAATGGCCAGCTCTCTCTAGTCGCGATCGATGAATCATATGTCATTATATACATAAACTTCAAGAGTAATTGAAGTACACACTGTCCAGAAAGCAATTTTACAAACAGTTATGATAAATGTATATAAACACATTATCAGCCTGACGTCTTTATCTTTTTTTAACATTTTTTAACAATTAATAATTATTACTTAAAGATAATAAATGTTTGCCATCCGCAATAATAAAGCTGCTGCTGTAAATTGTTTAACTATTTAATTTGTTTTCTATTTATTTTTCAGAATCTGGACTTGAGACTATTGAATTAGATATTATTATATAATACATATATCGTGTTACCATAATTATGTAAAAAATATTATATTATAGTCTATAATACATAAAATGTATGATATCTAATATTTAATATATTTTAAATACATTTCTCTATTTTCCTGAAAATTGCAAAATTATTTTTTCGAAATAGGTTACAGAATATTATATAAAATTATAAAGTATCCGCAGAGGTCGAAATTAAACTTATACAGTATGTTAATGAAGCCAAAAGGTGAAAAAAAATTAATTTAATCTTCTTTTACCTACTTGAATTTATATCAACACACCGTTTAAGTTTGTTTTTCCCAATCTTTGCGAATATTCTATATGCATAATTTATAGTAATATATACATATATAATATAATTATATTATATAAAAAATATCTGATTTAATCTAGTTGGAGAAAATGATGTTGCTATTCTCAGTAAAAATAAAGGAAAATAAATTATATTGTCTATCAACCATATTTGATAATATTCATTCTGACAACGCATGTTTAAGATGCGATCTGCCAATCGTTTTCAATCGTAATTTTCTAATGGTGCTGATATTGGTCAGTTTATACTCTCACGGAATATACACCTGATGCCGTACTATATAATTTAAATATGCACTTTCTGTATGGACATGTCCAGGGTCGGATACGAACGTCAATATTTTGAATATTTGTCGTCGATTGGTGAAGGACGTAAAAGTCAACGACTTTTTACGTAATAAAAATCTTGCATTGTGTTTACATTCACTTCAATATCGTCATGTGACTCACTGCCAGTGCAGATCTAATCTAAAAATTAATCGCACTTATCTAAATATCTTTGAGTATGTTCCTTAATTGTTTGATTTACTTTTAATACACTTAATGAAACTTTCTATTTACTGCGACATTAATGTTCGAGGAAGCAATACGACATGCTTAATTAACTGTGTGATATCTCTTATTGCATTAATTATTTAGTATAAATATACTCAAGAGAGTATCGTTGATTCTTAATATAGCGATGACGTAAGGAAGGTGATTGAAAAAAAACTATACTCGATTGATCGGTCGCAAATAGTTCCACATCGCGAAATTATTCACGGAAAGAATGAATTTGTTGAAGCATTTAAAAAGGTAAATAAAGTTCTGAAAAATAATTTTGTTGGACATCAAAATAATTATTTAAGAACTCAAGCATCAACAATGTCGCAAAAAATTATGACATTCTAACAACAAGTTTAAGTGCTTTCCACATCATTATTTTATAATAGTTTAACAAAATTATTTTTATGTCTGTATCTAGTTAAACATTTTTTGATACTTCAACAAAAGTTCTTTTTGTGACGCGTTCTGAAGCATTTATTATACATCTACGTCCCTGCATTTACTCCGTGTTACTCGACAGGGAGGCGTTTGTTCTGCTTGGCGGAAATTTTAGCCGTTTAGTTGGTCTCTCCGATCTATCGCGTTGTAAACCCTAAACCGAACTTCCAACAACAACGAAATGAGATTATCGCTGTATTCGACGTTGTTTGTTGTTCTTCTCGGAACTGCGATAGGGAATCGCTTCAACGCTGATACCTTTGTTGATTTGATATTGGATATCCGAAAATTTTATTCTGCGGCATCCGTCATTTTCGTCCATCCTGGAGACATATATGGGGATTATGGGGGTCAGTTCAAAATATTTTTTAAACACTATATTATTATTATTAAGATATCTCTTGTACACAGAAAAATAAGCATTAACAATATTACAATATTTATAATTTAAATAGAAATAAATTATAGGAAGAGATGATCTTATTAATTCAATATATGTACGCGCGTGTGTGTGTGTCATGCCATGTTTTTATATTAATAAAACAACTATTTATTTCATTAATATTATAACTGAATTAACAAGATTATTCATAATTAGATTTAATTCTATTAATACAATATAATTTCTTTTTACGTATGAATATGTTAATATGAATACGTTGCCTTCATAGCGAATTTTGTATATTCAAAATTATTATGCAACAAAATATCTCTGTATAATAAATTTCTGACATCGGACATGATTAAACAAGATTGAGTATCCTGTGTTAAATAGCGTATTTATTATTTTTTTATTGTTATCTATCTATTTATATTATTAAAAATTTTATATTAGAGTTTATTTTTTTACAAGAGCATTTCAGAAAATTTTGATAGCGTCAATCATCCTGACAGTGGCGTTACAGTCAACGTGTTACTTTAACTAAGCAAATATTTAGTCAATAAACGTTGCAACGACGATCATCGCGATTAATAGCAGTTATTTTTATACGATTCCACTTTGAAGTATTTTCTAATTATCTTTTCTTTTTCTATCTCATAAATTTATAAAATTGCGAAGCTAAAAATAGTAGAGGAAGATGAATCGCCAATGCACTTTGGTCTCGTTTAAACGACTAAAATTTTGTTTTCCTTTTTTTAAGAATTCAACAAAGTTGTCAGAATTTTAAACATTTGAGTTATTGAGCTAATTTTGCAAGATTCTTGCTGTAGATTTACGAATCACGCATCTGATACATACGAGCTCCCGCTTGCTAAGCCGACGCTACATAATGACTGTGGACGTGCACTTTAAAAAATTGTGGAGAACACTTAGATATTATCAGGAAATAATCCAGCCTATTACCATCGTCATTTTACCCGATTTCGAGGCATATATGGATTTTGTGGATGCCGTTAAAACCTACTCCATGTCCTTTCCGGTGTGGCTCATTCTGTTTCTTTATACCCCCGACAACAACATCCATGACTATTGCCATGAGCCGATCGGTAATCCCTTTAATCTGGCGTTCGACACGCAAATGCTGGTATTGTGTAACAACGAGATAATATTACGGGAATGGTATTCCGTTAAGGGTGATATCGTCAAAACCTTTGACCTAGCGGAATGGAAAGAGAATGAAGGATTCATTCCTTTGACGAATTTGTCTCTCTATGAACGAAGGAAGGATATGGAAGGAATTGTTCTACGGGCGGTCACATCACAGGTGCTCAATAAGATTTAATGTGCTTTTTTCTACATATATAATCCTTAGTAGCACAGCTTGGCCAACATAATAAGAATTCGCTATGTTTATTTAAATATTCTGTGAAGAAGACAAAAATATGCAATAAAAAAAAAGAGATGTGATGTTACACTTAAGCGTTTGATTTTTTAAGCACACACACAACAGATTTGAGATTTATTGTATATTATTATATACGATTAGATCATAACATCATCGTTATGTCAAGATGCAGCGAATTTGAATTTTATCAATTTTAATTGGTGTCATCAAAACCTTAGGTGTTCACGTATTGTAAGCTTTAGTTTATTTTTATTGTTTATTACATATGAAGGGATATAGATTAAAGCATAAATATTAAGTGCATAAATATTCAAAGCGAATGCAGTCTAATAAGTATTAGCTAATATTCTCTTAATATTACCAACATTTAGTAAAGTTATTGTCAATATACTTTGCTACCAAAGATAAAATAATTTATACGAATAGTAATATATACGTTTTTATAATTAATTAATAACATATTGATGCAAATTTGGCGTTTGAGTTAAATATCTCTGTTCAAATTAAATATTAAAAGACATTGTTTTCATTTTACCGACTTTTTAAGAATATATATATATATATTTGTTTACAAAATTTTTATCAACTTCTTAATAATTAAAAATTTGATTGATAAAGATATTTAATGAAAATGTCAAATATTTCTATCATTAATGTCATTAATTAATTTTAAAATTTATGTACTGTATAATTTTATAATTCTTATGTTAAATAATTGTGAAACGTTTTCTGTTCAATTGATCAATGTTAAACAAATGCAGAATTTAGTTGCGGCAATTAATGAGAATCAGATGGCTGTTATATACGCAAAAGTGTTGGAAGAGCTTATGAATTCTCTTAATTTCACCGTGAAGATTGTCTCCCAAAAAATGGAACACGGTATGCGGAATCGACAAACTCTCATTTGGTCTGGAGTGATGGGAGAGATCGTATATGATCGCGCAGATTTCGCAATCGCCGACATGTCGATGACGAGTTTTCGAATTTGCTTTGTCGATTTCACGCATACCTTGATCATATCTAGAATCAATCTGTACATCAAGGAACAGGAATTATGTGGCGTCAAATGGATCGGCTACTTTCAGGTAATATAATTGATTAACATGTAAATTATAAGTTTAATTTTATCTTGTTATTGTCACTTCTCGAAAATAATAAGTAAGAGTCGTTTTGGCATATTAGTTATCTAAATCATCTCTATTGTTAACTTTTTTATTACTGAATATGAACAATGCCTAATATAAGCATGATAAACGAGCAATAAAAAGAAATTATTATAGATAAAAAATTTTGATAGGAAAATACTGCAGCTCTGATGATCTTGATATGTTGTCAAAATCATGACCCTGGGTGATTTTCAACAGGTTTTAGCTGTTACTCGTTATTCGTTAAAAAATTCTGAAGAAGAAAAGTTTAAGAAATAACATCTTACTTTTTAGTTTTATACATATGTATAATATTAAGGACTACTCTACACCCGACCTACTGTTTACACTGAAAGAAAAGATTAACTGCTGCAGTAATTTAGGTGGTGAAATATGATATAGCATTTTTAATTGGCTGCAGCATCCAATTTTTGGTTGCAGTAGCCAATTTTTGGTCGCGTTAGCTATCCGCAATGGCTGCTACGACTAAAAATTTGCTGCTGCAACCAAATGTCATGATCTTGACAACATATGTCAAAGTTATCAGGGTTGGCTCCCCCATCTCCATATTTACCGCAATATATATATCTTACTATATTACATAAATATTACTCTATAATTTCCAACATTAACTTAAATATAAATTAGTATGAAACGAGAAGTATAACACAACATTTTTTTAATATAATTTTAACAGTTGTCAATGTATCAAAACAGCTTTCTTTTAAATCGAGCTTGATTTGATTTTAAACTTGAAATAATTTTTTATACTCGTACAACCGTAATAGACTTTCAGTTCGCGTACGTGGGTTACAATTATCATGCTAATAGCAGCCGCACCGATACTCTTATTCTTCATGAAAACGTACCGCGATCAATCACGAAGCGCCGCGGATCTGATCTCTGAGAATTTCATCTGCATTTGGGGTATCTTTTGCCAGCAGGCACTAACAGGTACTAACATAAATTTTATACAATAACTTTTTAAGTAATTAACTTAAACATTTTTTTGGTCATAAAATATTCATAAATATGTCACGACTGCTTCATTTTTTTTAAAGAGGATGAAATAAATTAAATTTTAATTGAGTTAAGAGTTTAGTTTAATATTGAACTCTATTTTCTTTTTTTTTAAAAGTTAATTAAAGCTGCAATTTAACTTTTTCCTCCAGATTTTCCGAAAAGCTCATCACTGCGTATCGCGTATTTCACGATAATTTTGACGGCTGTGCTGATAATGGCTCACTATTCAGCAGCATTAATTTGCTTTATGACGGCATGTACTTACATTTTACCTTTTCAAACGCTAGACGAATTCGCTGATGATGGTACCTATAAATTAATCATGTTACGCGATACTGCCGATTACGATATAGTCACGGTAAGTTTACTCAGCGATTAAAGAGTCTGACTTTCACTTTTAAATATGAAATTATGATTATATTTAATATTCTCTTCTCTCTCTTTCTCTCTATTGTGGTTTTATTAATGTTAATATATAATATGTATATGAAGTAATAAATTATAATGCGTTACAAGACATTTTTACGACAGTTTCAGGCACAGTATGAGGCACAGCCTTTCTATGTAAAACTGATGAAATTAATGAAGGACGAATCTGAGCTGCCAAAAACTCTAATAGAAGGCTTCATGCAAGTATGATTAACAATTGTATTTTTACGTGAGACATCGAGACGAATACGAATCAATTTTAACATATTGTTATCTTTCATTTCCATAATATAACTTTCATTTTCTAATTAATATTATGATTATTTCAACATATGAAAAATTTTTTATTTAATGTACTTGTTTAGGTATGTAATGAAAGAAACGTTGCTTTTATGGTGATGAGTGTTCAAAAGAAGAGCGTAGAAAAGAAGATACCTTGTAAGTTATCGAGCATTACTTCCGAGAGGATAAACAATTTAGCAATGGTTCTCTCCAAGGATAATCCATACACAGGCGTGATAAATTATTAGTGGGTATCTATCGTAAAAAGTGTCCTTTTTGCACATTCAATCTTTCCTTCGATCGTAAAAATATCGCGTGTACTAGTTTGCAGAAATTTTTAGACAACGGTATGATAATGCGTCTGAGGCAGACATATTCATCGCAATTGGGCGAAGATAAGATCAAGCCAGTTCATTTGTTTAACATCATCCCAATTTTGGCGATTCTTTGTGGAGGCTTTATTATAAGCATCATGATACTGATTATAGAGAAAATTCATTATCAATCAAATAGAAGGCAATCGAAAAACTTTTATCCTTCTAGCAAGCTATTTTAAGAAAGATAATTTTATAAGATATAAAATTTATAATTTAATTTACTAAATATTAAGAGACGAATTTTTAGCGAGAGGATTTCTTCATCCTCTTTTTTTCTCTCTAAATAGAAATTTTCGTGTGTATATGTGTGTGTTTGTAAATGTCACAATTTTAATCTACTAAAACTTTTTTTACTCTGATTGTATATGTTAGTTTTTTAAAATAACGAATTTATTGTAATATATTTAAATATTAGTATTATTAACAATTTTGTATTTAAGTTTGATGATATGATTATAATATAGATGGTGTATAACATATGTATCATTATTTAAATTATGTTACAAGTAAAATTTATGATGTAATAACACTAAAATAAAATAAGAATTAAGGAAAACTCATTTCTAGCGAGAAAAGAATTAAGAAAGTATAGAACTTTCTGAAGCTATATTTTATTTTAAATATTTCTTTACATGCTCATCAAAAATTATTCAATTTTTATTGAAAATTATTTTAAAAAATTTGCTGGAATACATTAAATTATTGATATCAAGAAGATATCTTTCTCTGCTCAAGGCTATAATCCTTTTGTGAGATATGCACGTTTAAATTTACACTGATCTTTATGTATCGAGCTGGAAACTAAGATGACACTTAAACGACATACCTGAAATAGCAACATCGTGAATGATGCACAGATAAATAATGCTGGTTGCGGCGAGCTTAACGTCGATGAATAATTTATCAGTTTGGTCGATGATTTGCCGATAAAAGTCGTATCGTCGCGTATCTCGATATAATTTGTAATAATGCTACCGCACATCACCCGGTGACACTCTTTTGCACCCACTCCTAGATCCTTGATATCGATAAATCCTCGTTTACGATGACCTCTCTTCAGTCACGCGTTTGCACCCTTGAATCGCAGTTACCCTTATTTCTTTCTTTAACCCTCAAGCATCAATAGTTACGCTTTTTGATAAAGTATAACTCCGCGATTCATTATCTTTAATAAGATTTCGGAATTAAAATACCGATTTCACGTTATGCCTCTCCATTCTTATATTTGTTTTAACTCATACGATGGATAGTTTCTTGTTTCGAATTCATTGTTTGTTGTAACAGTATATAATTGGACAAAATAGATCTTTATCTTTTTACACAGTAATCGTTTATCCAAGTTCTTAATTTAAACCTCTACTTTGCGAAATGAAATATATGATAGTACGATCGATCGTGATACTCTTTTTTGTGTTGGATGCCAAATCGCTGACACAAGAAATAAGTATTAACAATTATTTCCAATTAATTACTGACGTCCACAGATATTATCTCACGTCATGTGTTTTTTTCGTGCGATCTAACAATTACGGTAAGTACTGGAAATAATTTCCTATCGTTTGTCATATTGCACTTCTAGCCAATTGACAAAAAAATTGAACATTCAATTTTTGGATTAATTGGAATAAAGAAAAATAATAAAAAATTTTTGAATTTATTAGATATACTTTACGTACAAAATTACCACGCCGTACTCTCATTCGCTCTGGTGTTTCTCTATTATAGGATTTTTATTATTTAATATGAAAGATCTGTGGATAACAAAGTTAAATTATAAATTAATAAATAATTGTTTAGTGTAATGATTATCAACAATGTTATTAAATAATTTAATATCGTTTGATTAAAAAATGAATAATTACGCACAAACAAATGTTACATAAGAGAAAAATTTTATTATGGATACTAATTATTAATTTTTGTTAACTTTTTAAGAGGAATTTTTGATGTTGTTGCTATGTTAAATAAATACGACAAATAAATTATTACAACATTTCCGATTTTTTGAAACTTTTTTCTTCTTTATTTTTATTGTTGTGGATTTTAATTCAATAAAATGTAACTCTAAATAAAAAACTAATAAAATCTAAAAATTAAATATCATCTCAGTTACGGTCTAGAGAATACCTAATACTGGTATAAGTAAAATGTAATATCGTTTTCGTGCAAATCGCAGATTTAAAGACAACGACATTGGTGCATACATTGTTGCGCGAACTTTCACGGCAGGGAGTTATGACCGTGACCATAACTTTTTCGGAGCTGACGAGCAAATACAATGAATATCAGAAGAACATGAGGATGCCCTTAATCGTCGTTTTCCTTGATACCGAGGAGACCATGGATGAATTTGCCAAGACCACTAAGGGCATAAAACCCATCTCCTTTCCCATTTGGTTGATTGTATTTCTTCAGCATTTTGGAAATCCCCTCAAAAAGTACTGCACGCATCCTGCCAATAATATATTCAATGTAGACTTCAGCACCCAGATGCTGGTCCTGTGCTACAATCGCTCGACCCTAGTCGAGTGGTATGCCATTCGTGATAATTATATTAGAACGTTTGATTTGGCTACGTGGTCTCCTGATACAGGTCTGATTCTGAGAACGCAAGAAAACATCTACACCAGGAGGAGCAACATGTTTGGTGATGTTGTACGCGTAGCAATTGTGGAAGTAAGTTTTTATTTTTCTCAAACGTTGCTTTAACTTTGCGATTTAGAAAAGGTTGTGAACGATAACTTCGTAAAAAATAATTGGCTTGAAAAAAATTGCCTCGCAATTTGTCATGGAATCAATATTAGAATTTAATGATAATCTCGTAGACCTATGGACGTAGATTGATTTGACAATTCTGTTGATAAATGCTTGAAGAAATCGCCATTGGTCTCACTGGAGAACGGTACGATGAGCGGATTTTTTGGTTTGCTGCTGATAGAGCTCAGCAAAGTGATGAACTTCACGATAAAGCTTCTGGATCCAGTGGACTCATTCGGTAGCTGGAACCAGAAGAAGAATGCTTGGACAGGTGCGATCGGCAAGTTGGTAGATAATGAAGCTGATATCGGCATAGCCGCATTCACAGTAACAAACGATAGACTTAGAGACATCGATTTTACGATACCATTGATACGCACGGAATACCGCCTCTATTTGCAGCAACCTATCACGCCCTACGTGCAGTGGTTCTGGTACTTCAAGGTAATAATGATCTTTATATTAATAGTATAACATATTAATTAAGATGTATTAAAAATGTATTAGCTGTATATATTAATTATACAGATTATAATTATAAAATTACAAACTAGACAAAGATTTTATTATATGTATATTCATCTTGAGTTAATTTGTAATAAAATTAAAAATAAAATTATTAAAAATCATTTAGTTACATCTTTGAGAAAAGAAATATTAAAGTAATTTGTGTGTGTGAGTAAATAAAAATTTGTGATAACAAAGCCTAGTAGAATAAATTATTTTCTTCTATCGATAAATCTTGTAGGTGTTTAGTCCCGGAGTTTGGAGTACATTAATGATGATAATAATAATTTCTTCTATTATCTTGACTATTATTAAGACAAAAGGATTCTCGATAAGCATAATGTCCGATAATTATATTAAAGTTTGGGGTATTTATTGCCAGCAAGGTTTGCCAGGTAAAAAATGTTCCAAGCAGAACAAGTCATGATGACATTAAAATGAAGTCATAATAATTCTGAAATGATCATTAAAAGTCATTTTTCAATCATTTACAAAATTTTAACGTTATTTTAATATTATTGTGACTTGTTCTGCTCTCTCTTGGGTATAAATGTTTAATATTTTTAATTAATATTTCTATCTAGTATAATTCTTTTATTATTTGTGGTACGTTTTATGTCAATAAATGTCAATATTTATGTATGTTGATGCCAGAATAGAATGTACATATACATATACATTATATGTATATTATATATATACACACATGTTACGCGATTGCAGAATTTCCCGTAGAATCATCAATGAGGCTGGCTTTTTTTTCGATTTATATCTCATCGGTAATAATTCTGTCCACCTATTTCGCTTCACTGATCAGTTATTTGGCACGTAATACGGCTAAACTGCCTTTTTCCACCCTGGAGGGATATGTTGAAGACGGAACTTACAAATTAATTGTTCTACAAAACAGCGCCGAATACGACATTCCTCATGTAAGTCCATTCTTACTTATACTTTAAAAATTACTTTGCTTAATAATGATATATTAATTATAGAATTTTTTTGTTAAATCTTTTGCGAATAAAAACAGTTTCACAAGTAGCAAAAATTTGTAGCAAAAAATTGTAGCAAAAAATTGGAGCAAAAAATTTGAAACGTAAACTAGTCTTCTAATTCAGTAATCTTTTTGTAAAAAATTTAAAGAGGTATTCTCTACTATAATGGATAAAAATTAGAAATTTTTTCATTTTTTGTAAATATATGTTATAGAAAGTATAAACGTTAAAAGATTTATTTCAATTAGTAAAATTTACAAAATTACAGCGGCTAGAAAGTAAAACTAAAAAATTAAGCTTGATTTAGACATTAGAGTTATCGACAGCTATAGGTACTCACTGCTAAATGGATGGAATTATCCAATTGACTTAATATTATAATTAAAAAAAAAATGCAATATATTACTTTAAAATAAATATTGCGAAGAATATTACTACGTCGACCCGTCAGAGGTCTATAGATATTCGCAAAAATTCTCGCAAGTGCTTTGATACGCGTATATCTGTATATATAGAATCTCGATTTAATAACTTAAACAAGCGTCTAAGGTAGGCTTCCACTACAATGCCTTACTAATGAGTCCAGTAGTGGAAGTTGGGACGAAACGCCATAATTATGTGATATTTTTCGCAATATATATTAGATTAAAAATTTAAATTGTAATAAGGCTCAATGAATTTAAAACTAATAAGAGAACAGGGCTACGAGCCATAGATTCGTTAAAATCTTTAATTTTCTTATTCTAATATATTGCGAAGATTATCACGTAATGTTGGCGTTTCGTCCCGGCTTAGCCGTGATAATCTTCGCAATATATTAGAATAAAAAAATTAAAGATTTTAACGAATTTATGGCTCGTAGTCCTGTTCTCTTATTAGTTTTATATTAGATTAATTTAAAAAAAAAAAAGGTTTTAACGAATTATTTTCTCTTGCCCTTATCTCCTATATTAGTTGTTTAATACATATTGAGCCTTATCTCAATCATTTAAAATGCAATATATTTTTATTTAAATTATAATTTTTTAAATTTTGTAGTATACCAAGGATCCCTTATTACTGAAAATGTACGAATTTCGGGAGGATACTGAGTATTTACCGACTACATTGGTTGAGGGATTTAAGAAAGTTAGCAATGTTACTTAATGACATCAACGGTGTTAATTTCGAAATTGATTCATCAATTTTCATGTAGATCTGTGAGCGGATGGACTTGGCGTTTTATACGACGGAGGTATTCAAAGAGTATATGAGCATTTGTATACAGTGTGAGCTCGTATACATTCATACTGGAAGAATCGATAATAATGCGATAACTCTAACGAAAGGAAGTCCTTACACCCGCTTCTTAAATTACCAGTAAGTCCTAAATATACATATTTATTTGTACCTTTTTTAAAAAGTTTTTAATTTCTTTTCATTTTTCAGTTTGAGGCGATTTCAAGATAATGGCATTCTAAACAAGTTACAGAACAAGTATCCCTCAAAAATTCCGATGAAAGGAATTATTGGTAACTTTACGGTCGATATAACCGATGTAACACCGATTTTAACAATTGTAATATGCAGTATAGCCTTGTCATTACTTGTCTTGATAATTGAGAAAATGTATTATTCGTTTAAAACTCTACCACGGAATAATAAATCCGTTAAAAAATTCACTTACAATCTTAACGTGAGGAGTAAATTGCAAAAAGAATACAAAAAGAATCTAAGACTTCAAGGATTTTATAACAAATCGATTGACTATTGGTAATAATACATATAACAAATAGTTATAAATGCTGTAGGGGGATTTGTTGTCTGTAAAATAATACTCACAATAATATTTGCGTTTTTCAATTCATTTAACAAGTTTAACATAATATTCGAAATATATACATACATATTTCGAAAAGAAAAAATTTCCTAAACTGATTATTTTAATTTACTATTGTATTATTTTACTTTTTTGCAAATGTTATTGTGGATTGCGTGCGTAGATATATTTTATTTACTCAAATATAATTAATAACATAATAATAACAAATAGTATAATATTTTTACAAATAGTATTAGATTGTAATTAAATAGAGAATTTTATAATAGTGAGATAATTAAAAGATTATAAAGACATATTTTATGTGGTTAAAAATTGAATTTTCTATTTCCCAAAATATATCCAAACAATCGTTATTCTGGAAATTATTATATTATGAGAAGTTAAATATAATCTAATAAGAAGAAGGAAGTATAACATTATAAACATCATTGTATGAACATTGTTATATATAACAACATTTATTTTAATTTATAAAACTGTTACACCGATTCAGTTTAAGTCCACGCAGTTGTAGAACTGGATCCTATGTAAAATCACACCATAACTTTTTGGTTGTAAATTTAAATTGCACAAATATAGAAAAATTAATAATATATTAGTAAATATTTTAATAATATTTCAGGAATATTTAAGAAAATATAGTTTCAAAATATTATAACAATTTATTTTAATCTTTTAATAATATTTGTACAACATTTTATATAGGAATATTTTGCGCCTATAAGTGTCACGTTCAGGACAGCGGAAGAGAGGATGAGAATAATTAATCTGCTGATATCTATTATATTAGTGTATTGAGGATACAGCGTGGAGAGATGCGTGTATTTCCATAAGTAACTAACTCTAGACCGCGCGCCAAGAGCGGGGGGCACACAGTCGTGCCAACATAACTAATAGCGCCATAACGACGGCGCGGACTATGAGAACCATGACAATAAGGGAGTTGTTCTAATGTCTAAATGCGAAATACGTGTAAATGCAAAACGCAATTTTTTAAAAGTTATGAGAAATTAGATTTAATGGAAAGAACTAATATCGTTTTTAAAACACCCTTTCAGTTCAATTGCCTTTTTCGCCTATTTCTAAACATAAACTCATAAGCTCGAAAGCAGCATTGATAGCATTAATAATTGTCTTCACTCTTGTTTGTTGCGCGTTTCAATTGTCACTACACTATTTTTTTGTAAACCTATCCTATCAAAAATAAACAATGCATACTTTTTAAAATTAATATCTTTTTTCAAATTTATTTAAATGCATCGTGTTATGTTAATGCGAAACACAATTTTTTAAGTGTATTAGAGATTAGTTAATGAAAAGAATTAATATTGTTTTTAGAACGCTTCGCTTTTAAATTGTCATTCTTTTCACCCACTCCTAAACACAAATACATACATAAGTTTGTAAACATTTCAGGAAGCGCTAATGATTGACTTTGCTCTTGTATTCTGTTATACGTTTCGACTGTGAACTGATCTGAAGAGGAGTTACAAAATATCTCTAAAACGTTCTCTTGATACTTGATTTCTAGTACTAATTGCTACGAAATTCGAAAAACATGTTTCGATTTTTTATATTAATCGTGGTACTCGTTGAACTGATCAATTCGGAATTGTTAAGGTAAGATAATGAAAACGTTGATTCGTGATAAATACTTCAACGATAATCAGAACAAAAATGTAGAAAAATGTTCTTGTGTGTTAGATAACCTTATGAAAAAAAAGCTTTTAAATATCGTTTTAAGATTCGGAATTTTATTATCTTCATGTCTTAAATGAAATAAGCGCCATGAAAACAGAAATTTACATTTAAAATATGCAAACATTATTTTTATGCGTCAATAAAGTGGATTGCATTTATTATTTATTATTAGTATCAAAATGTTGAGGTATAAATAATATCTAAAAATAAGAAGAATTAGATTAAATTTAAAAATAATTAATGAATTTGTCCGAAATTCGTGTATATATATATACGTTGTGCGATATTTATATATTCATGTATTTGTGAAATCTATGGTATATACGTAAATATATAATATAATGAATTGCTTTTGTGTTGCTTCAAGAATTCCGTTATATAAGATAAACTCTGTTCGAAAATCGATTGCCATTGATAGTCGAAATAATTTGGTTACAAATACTTCGAATAGTAATCATTCGGCTGATATTCCAAAGACATCACAGTTTAATTGTCATATCAGACAATACTATGGCGTTATCTCAGTTGGAACACCACCACAGAAGTTTAAAGTACTTTTTGATACTGGTGCCTCAAATTTTTTTGTACCATCCATAATTTGTGATAACGTTGCTTGCTGTATGTAAAAATCATAAAGTTACATTTTCTTCGACAGTCCATGGTTTTATTTATATTCACTTATTGTATTCATTTATATTACATATTATACTTACATTTTATGTAATTTATATTTATACTTATATAAAAGTACATTTTTTAAATAATTAATAATATTATTATATATGTAGAAATTATTTTAATTGCTTTTTCTTATTTTAATGACTAACTTTAAGTAAAAATATAAAGTAGAAAAACAATCTACCATATTTTAAGTACAATTTTTATGACGATTTAAAATGTAATAGTTTTAAATTAAAAATTACTAAGGAGGAAAATATTACGAAATTAAGTTTCACAATCATATATGGCTTTATTTCTAAATGCTTATTACAAATGTATAAATAATCATTTTTGACACAAAGTACAGTTTATACATGTTAAAGTGAAGAAATAATAAATATTTTTAATGTTATAATAATTGTTAATATATATATATATATATCTTTAAATTAATATATATAAAGAAAAAATTATTTTTAGCATCTTTAATAATTGATTTTCTGTTTCATTATTTTAAATTTATTGAGCCTTATCAAAACATATTTTGATTTTTTATTTTTATTTCATATAGTGTCACATAGTAAATATGACAGTAATAAATCTCACTCATATATAGAAGTTGGTACTTATATCGGACTTGATTACGCGGTTGGAACGTTGACTGGATATTTGTCTACTGATGTAGTGAATGTAAGTATTGTCATCAAACTTAGTTTAATTTAGTTTTAATTATAATTTACAAAGATTTTTTGAAAGAAAACACGTATCATTTTTTATAGATTGCTGGCGTTAATGTTCAAAATCAAACATTCACAGAAGCGGTAGCACCGGATCCAGAGGCTTTTTCCTTTCTGATATATGACGGAATCTTAGGAATGAGTTATCCCGAGAGTTCTACAAAAGGAGTGCCTCCCGTTTTTACAAGTATGATTGAACAAGGCTTAGTGTCAGCACCTGTTTTTAGTTTTTATCTGAGTCGGCATGTATCTTTATCTTATATCTAAAAATATTCTTTCACTTAAACACTTTGTCTTTCTATATTACAAAATTTTGTTTTTTTTTTAAATATAAAAAGACAATATTTTTAATATTAAAGAAAGTATAATCTGTACAGAAATTACGATAGTGAACTAATATTGGGTGGTTCTGACCCTATTTATTATGATACCGAGTTTACATATGTTAATATAACCAACAAAGGGTATTGGCAATTTGCCATGAATAAGTATGTAATTATTTTTAAATTACATATACATATATGTCAGTGGATATATACCAAGTGATTGTTAATGCTGTAGGATAAAAATGGGAAATATGAGTTTATGTGTGGATGGCTGTGAAGCTATCGCCCACACTGGTTTTCCAGGGATATCTGGACCAGCATCAGAAATCGCACTTATTAACAAATGGATCGGAGTTTATCATCGTGGCGCAGAAACAATTGTAAGCAAATGACAAATTTCACAATGGCAGCTCTCTTTCAATATTAAACAAATTTTTGAAATAAATTAATAAATGCCTGATTTTTTGTTATCATTGGAAATAATATATTTTATTAATACTAAACTTGGTTTAAAGGTTGACTGTAAAAACATTCATAATTTACCCCACATTGGTTTCGTCCTAGGTGATAAAACATTTATACTCAGTAGTGAATATTACGTCACTGTAAGAACGGTAAATATCATCAAATAAGGGAAGATAAAACTTCTGATCACTCATCACGCATATCTTCAGATAATGTCAGAAGCGACAAAATACATAAAAAATCTGGTAAAATGTATTAAATTAGATACATTTCTTAAGATAACAATTTTTGCATTTATTAAAATAGGCTTGTAAAAAAATATATCTGATTTTTTGCAAATCATGTATAGCTTATTTTTTTTTGGTTATTCAATTTTAATTATAAGATTAATTATTGATTTCACTATACACATAGACAGTTTTTTGGTATATTTTACAAATATATATAGAATACAGTGTTGTTCTATTAAAATTTTTTTTAAACTAAAAAATTTTTAATATAATTTACAAAGCTTTTTTATGTACTTTTTTTGCTTCTGATGTCGCAATCTAAAATAATAATAAATAATCAAGAGCTATAAATTTTAGTTTAAAATAAAACATCATGCTATATTCAATTTATTGTAGATCAATTGGAGGAACACTATAGAATGTATAAGCGCTTTCGTGAATTCTAATGGGAATATTTGGATTTTGGGTACTCCATTTTTTAATAAGTTTTACACTGAGTTCGACATGGGGAATGACCGAATAGGATTTGCGCATGCAATATAAATATTGTCTTCTCAAGAGATTGTTATTAAATGTTACAAAAATTTAAATAGTAATAATTTTTTTTCTCTTTTGATCCTCTTATACTTATTGCATTGAAAATTTTATTTGAGATAATTAGAATATTAAATAAATGCTTATGTGATACAGTTTAGAAAAATAGAAAGAAAATGTGCAATATTATTGTTATTGTTCAATATAGTCTATTCTTTTAACATAATATTGTATCGCCACACGATATTATATATATATTAATTATATATATATATAATAAATATAATTAAGTCAGTTAATCTTAATTTCTTTCTTTTTTTTTAATAAGATAGAAAAGTTGTATATGTATTTTTTTCATGTCGACTCTGTATTTGTGAACTGATTTAAAGCAATAAACTATCTTTGGTCATATATTAGGTATATAAGTTGAAACCCGCCCTTTTTTTGCCAAAATTAAACCTTTATTTAAAAAATAAAAAGAATTTATCAATCAAAGTATTGGTCATCGTTAGATATGACTTTTTCCCATCTTTCTAGTAATAAGCGGATCCCACGGCGAAAGAACAACTCATCTTTAGAGGCTATCCAGTTAGAGACCCATTTTTCGACGCTTTTATAAAGAGTTGAGAATTATCTCAATTCGACAGTTGTTATTAATTTTATTTCTTGATAAACGTAATTCACAGTCTTAAATATATGATCACTTATTGATTATCAGAATACAAGGGGAATTTTTTATATATTTTACAAAATTCTATCAATTATAAATATTTTATTTAAAATATGTACATATTAATATTACTTTCAAAAATTCTTTGTTTTTCTAGTTTCTGATGTTACAATCTATTGACTGTTGTGAATAGCCAAGAGTCTTAAAAATTGTTCTAGAATAGAAACATTATAAAATATTCAATTTATTATAGATCGAAGATACGAATATATCGGTATGCTATAGCTCCTTCGAAATTGCGGCTCAGAGTGCGGAGTTTGATATGGATTTTGGGCGATTCGTTTCTGTCTCGATATTATACCGAGTTCGACAAGGGAAACGATTGCGTGGGATTCGCTCCTGCAAAATAAATAGTGTTATCTCAAGAGAATACTTTTAAACGCTAAAGTATCTAAATAATAATAACATAATATATGTATAAATGTTTAGAATAACTAAGTTAAATTTTTTTAGAACATTGATTCTTTATTCTTATTATATACATAACGCTCATTGCGTTGTAATTTTTATTTGTAATTAAGCGGTACATTATTATACAAATACATATATATATATATATATGTAATATTTTAAAAAATTAGAACGAAGAGATGTCCGATATTATTTATATCAACAATTTTGAACAGCCTATTTTTTTAGCATTAATCAATATTGTAACATGATATTATGTGAATATATATGATTATAAGATTATTACAATAAAATAAAGTATGTACATTCTTTTTCTATATTATATGTTGATTATATATATCTATATATACTTACCCCCTTCAATTTTATTTAATATAACATTAAAAAAAATATTGTTTTATATTAATTTTCTTTTTCATACATACATGTAAAATGTTTATTATAACAATAATTAAGAATTAACTAATTGATCGCATTAAAACTATGATACGTTTCGACAGTACTGCTATCTGTTATTAAGCTGAAGAAGATTAAAGCGACCCTATAATGACTTATTACAGTCACAATAGTGAGCTATTATATTATAAGATCGCTTTCAGAACATTTTGCGCGCTCTATCGTCCTTTTCATCTTGTTATAAATACAAACACATACATGAACTCATACATTAACAGCATTAGGAGCACACTAACAATTGATTACGTCCTTTTATATTGTGTGTTCTGTTTTGGACAAATTTAAAAGAGAATTATAGTGTTCCTAGCTAAGATCTTAATTCTTGTGGCTTAATTGTTAAAAAATTTGGAAAATATGTTTCGAATTTTTGTGACGGTTGCAATACTTTTGGTGTTTGTCAACGCAGAAGTACATAGGCATGTATATATCTATATAAACGTTAATTCGGGATAAATACAATAATTGGTACAAATCTATAGAAAAATGTATTTTGAATGTCAAAATAAAGCATATAAAGAAACACTTTTGGAAAACTTAAATTAAAGATTGCACTTTAATCTTTTTTTATCATGAGTCAAATGAAATATCGGGACCATGGAAGTAGAAATTTATGTGTAGAAATTCTTAATATTAAAATGTTATGGCTTTAATAGTTTTTAAAAGTAAAAAATGTTTCAAGATGATTAATTAATTCAGCCAAAATTTATTATGTTCTTGTACAATATTCGTATATTTGAATATATGTGTACATGTGGTATATTTATACAAATGATATAATTAAATTTTTTTGCTTTAAGAATTTCGATGGCTTCAAGAATTCCGTTGTATAAGACAAACTCCATTCGAAGATGGACTGGCATCAATCGTCGACAGGAACGGGATAGTACTGGCATTGGAAGGAAAGATATATATTATGAACAATGCATGCTATCGTGCTATCACAATTGGAATAACGCATACTATGGTGTTATCACAATTGGAACTCCACCGCAACAGTTTACTGTACTTTTCGACACTATTTCCGCAGATTTCTGGGTACCATCCATAAAGTGTCATAAACATTCTTGCCGTAAGTACATTATGACATCGCTATATATACTTCAATGTTCTATTATTCATATGAGTACTTTTATATTTAATAGTATTATTACTGCATACATAGAAATTATTTCAATTGTTTTCTTTCATTTTAATAATTATCAAGTATAATTGATGATTTGGTACAGAAATGCATCAAATAAGGATAAAGACAATGCTGTAGAATTTTCACGTTTTAAATAAAACTGTTAAACCTTAAATGTTTTGAAGTTAAAAGTACTAAATAAACATATAGTATATATTATGAAATTAAGTTTTGTATTTACATGCGGTTTATTTTGTTTATCATACTTATTTTAAATTTACAAATTATCTTTAGCACAAGACACAACTCGTACATTATAAAAAAAATATATTTATATAAATACATTTAATAATTTACCATAAATAACTGTTAATTATACATATGTTTAATAAAGAAATTGATATATTAATTAAATTAATAAAACAAATTTTTATTTCTAGAATTTTTAATATTATATATAAAATTAACTGTTACTTTAATGTACTATCTTTTATAGATTCATCTAATAGATATAGACATAAAAAATCCAAAACATACCAGTCAAATGATAAGCTATTCAAAATTGAATATGAAAATGGGTATAATGTGACAGGATTCTTATCTACTGACTTAGTGAATGTGAGTCAAGTAAACAGTTCTATTTAGCCTCAATTTTAATCTATAAAAATTTCTTGAGACACATTAATTTTTATAGATTGCTGGTATTTCTGTTGAAAATCAAACATTCGGGGAAGCTACAAATGAATTGGGATTCGGCGTCCAATCGAGATTTGACGGTGTTTTAGGAATGGGATATTTTCCAGTATCTGAAGAAGACACACCTTTTCTTTTGAACATGGTGAAACAAAATTTATTGACACGACCTGTTTTTAGTATCTTCTTGAATAATCGGTATATATTCTTCTGTATGCGTCGTATGTCTAAAAATAATCATTTAAATATCTTATTTTCCCACAATATATTTATCTTTCCAAGTAAAGGTATGTTTTTCTATATTATTAAAAAATGCATATAATTTTACAGAGAATTGCTGCCCGAATTGGATAGCGAACTGATAATTGGTGATTCTGATCCCTCTCTTTATATAGGCAAGCTTATATATGTTAATGTTACTAGAAAAGGATACTGGCATTTTACCATGGATAAGTATGCGGTTACTTTTTAAATTATAGGTATGTCAATTACAAATTATGTGCTAGCTATAACTGTTATTGCACTGTAGGGTTAAAATGGGAGGTACAACTTTCTGCGAGAATAGCTGTTCAGCTGTTATCGACATAGCCACTACCATGATAATCGGATCATCATCGGATATCACAACTATTAACAGACTGATCGGGGCTACTTCTAATGGAAGAGAAATGATAGTAAATAATCACACAATAGCACAGCTTTTCGTCAACAATATTAGATAAATTACTAAAATATATTAACAAATGTTTAATATATTACCGATTATATGATAATATCATATTTAAGATGGAAAGGTTCCGATTGCCTACATGCATAATTGTACACATTTCTGATTGGGTAATTTAAAAATAATATAACCTCATTGATAAAGCAGAGAAAATTTTCTAGGCACCGGCCAATGTGAGTGGTGTGTGCAATCGGGATTGTATAAGTAAACGGGATCCTCCCATTTAAGATATAATACGATAAGATTATATGATAATATAATTTACTAATATTAAGTTTTGTTTAAAGGTGGATTGCGATAGAATTCGTTCTTTGCCTACTATCTGTTTCTTCGTAAATGGCATTCCACTCAGACTCACTAATGAGGATTATATTATTGAGGTAAATATTAACAAATGATGTTTTAAATTATTTCAGAATAGGAATATTATGCTACGTTTAATTCATTATAGTTCGAACAAAAGGGTCAGAAAAAATGTATAAGTGCTTTTGAGATAGCGGAACCGAACATATATAAGGAATCAACGTGGATTTTAGGTAATGTATTTCTTTATCGGTACTATACCGAGTTTGACACGGGGAACGATCGACTTGGATTCGCCGAAACAGAAGTTCATGTTTATTCAAAAGGTCATATACATGAATGTTGAAAGATTTAAATAATAAGCGAATATTTAAGACAAATTACAGAGAACATTGGTTTCTATATTTTTTACTTCATAATTTTTATTTGTGATTATCTGTGCGGAATATTTTTAAATAAATACGTACGTGGTATTTTAGAAAATTAAAACAAAAATGTAATATTTTTATCAATGATTTCATACAATATATTCTTTTAGCCTAACATTGTATTAGAGGTATATTATATGATTTTATAAAAGTGTGTCAAAACTTATATTAAAATAAATGTAATTTTATATACTGACTTTTCAATTTTATCTAAATAAAAGGTATCTCATATATTACAAATATTTATCTTTATATTTCATCAAGTATTCATATCAAGTATTTCCGCTTTTAATGTGTTTTTATTATTATAATTATATTATAATTTGTACTTTTTAAACGTATTCTAAAAACTACATTAACTAAATATTATACTATTGTAGACAATGCTAAATAAAATACAATAAAAGAAAATAATAAAAGGATTATTTCTAGCATGTAAAAACTGTATTTTATAGCATTTATTGTTTGTAAATTGCAAAAATTGATTTTAATACAATATTAATACAATGCCAATTTCTCCATAATAATAAAATAAAATAGAACATTAGTTTAAATGTTTTGCAGGAAGTAAAATTTACGTAACATTTTTGTATTCTTTACATTAGAGTTAATTTTTGAAAGAAAAAATTATATGTATATTGTATACGTTATATTTTAAAAAATTAGAATGAAGATGTGCAACATTATTTTTATTAATAATTTAGAATGACTTATTCCTTGAATATAATAAATTGTTACATACATAACTTTATAAATATAAGTCTATTTAAATAAAGTATACATTCTTTTTATATATTATACATATAATTGATTTCATATTCCAACCTTTATAAATTTTGGTAATTATTTAATACGGGGATCTAGCTTCAATTATCTTAAATTCGATATACGTTGTCAAGATATTAATCTTGAGTAACTTAGCACAACTCTCTTCTCTCTAACAAATAAGTTAAAATTTTTATTTAACAAGTAAGTAAAAACTTGTAAGTGGCGGTCTCTTATGGTTTCTAAGATTAGAATTAAAGTATCATTTTGATTAAAAAAGTTTGATAAAACTATACGAAAGAGAAGCAACCTCCAATGATCGAGTAATTTTTAAAAGGTTTTAGGTAGTCATTGTTTGTTAACTATTATTAACAAAAATGCAACAAATAAAATAAAATGTCTGCCTGTACAAATTAGATAAGGGTTGGGTTAGATTAGGATTAAAGGGGATGCTGCTCCTAACTTAATCGAACCTCTATCCAACCCAATCGCATTGAGAAGTGTTCACACAGCCTGGACAAAGTCGACAAACTGCTCACTTTGCTCGTAATATATATATATATATATATATATATATGTAATAAAGCATTATATCATTGTTTATATAAACCCATTTTATGAAGATAAATAATGCATACTTTTGAAGATTAATTTCGTATCTTTATCGTTAATTATATAGTACTTGTACGTCGAGTTATTCCAATGCGTAGTATACGCGAGATACAATTTTTTTGTGATCAGTTTTTAGAGTAAAAAGAATTATATTCTTATCCTTTTATACACGCCAGGTATGTAAGTTCATATTTGTATATAAACATTAATAGAGAGCTAATATATAATTGTTGACATTACTCTTTTCCAGTACGTTCCAATCGAACTGTCTCGCGAATAAGAATTATAACGCTTCTAAAATCTTCTTGATTTTTGTATTTTAAGAAATACAATATTTAAGAAATTTGGAAAACATGTTTCGAATTTTTGTTGCGATTGTAATACTTTTCGTGTTGATCAACGCGAAATTGTTAAGGTAAGCGTATATAAACGTTTTTAATTCGAGATAAATACTTCAAAAATAATTAGAATAAATTGGTAAAAAAATGTACATTATGTGTCAAAATAATTAAACTCTTCTCGAAGATTTCTTTGAAACTTTCATTTTTATTGTTATATTTTGGTAATATTAATATTATGAAAAAGCAATTTACATTTAAAATAGCTAAACATCATATAGGATACGTAAATATTATAGAAACATATAACATTTATTTTTTAATACTAAAATGTATATATTATGTGAAATAGAGGAAGAGACTTTGTTAGTTTTAAAATTCAAAAGTGTTTTAAGATAACTAATTATTTTAAAAAATTTACATACATATGTTATACGGTATTTGTATACTTATTGTATATACATATAATATAATTTTATTTATTTTAAGAATTCCGTTGCATAAGATAAATTTTACTCGAAGATCGATTGGCATCGATCATCGACAGAGTCGTTCAGCTTTTCATGCTGTAAGAGAAAGTCTGATTAATGATATGGATTTTGAATATTATGGCATTATCACAATTGGTACTCCACCGCAGGAGTTTAAAATGCTCTTCACAACTAGTTCTTCATATTTTTGGGTACCATCTATAAATTGCGAGGATTTATCTACTTGCAGTACGTATTATACATCGTTATTTATTTCTTTAGGAGAATCGCCTATTATCAGATTTTTCTAAAAGCTTGTAATTTATTTAGTTTATAACCTTAATTTTCATGTCAAATTTATGGGAAATATGTTAAGTTTTATCTTCAAAAAAGTTAACAATCGATAATACCTATACTTTGTTATAAGTGAAATTTTTTTATTAAAAGTGGCGATTTTGCTAATTCAAAAAAAGGATTCCTGATATGAGATACAAGAGTTTCCTATTAAGTGGTATCTAATAATCAGGAAGGAAAAAATTAAAATAAGCTTCTTATACATGCTTCCATTATACAGTACTTTATAAAAGTAGAAACAAAAATTTTACTTGAAATGTATGTGGAATCATGGATTTCACAAGTTAAAGTCTAAATAAATAAATATTATGAAAGTAAGTGTCATTTATACATGCGACTTATTTTGTACTTATTTTATATATGACGTTTTCTAAAAGTACAAATAAGATTTAATATAATTCATGTGTAGTAAAAATATAATTATAAATATATTTGATTTAAATTATCGTTAAATATACATATGTTTAAATAAATAAACACTGTTATTAAAAAAATGTATGTTAATAACAAGACTCAATAAATTTAAAAAATAATTAATACAAACAGGGCTACGAGCCAACATTCGTTAAAATATAAAGGTCTTAGTAAATATAAAATGTCATTAGTTAAAAATAAATATAAAGTTTAATAAAATTTAAAAACAAACGTTTCGACCTTTATTAGGTCATTATCACGTTATTAAATTTAAATTATTATAAAAAATAAACTATTGCTAAATATATCTAAATAGTATATATTTAAATGAATAAAAAAATTAATTTTGAAATCTGTAATATTAACTAATATACTTCAACGAACTATTTTTTATAGACCTGTATAATAAATATGATAGCTCTAAATCAAGCACGTACATACAAGATGATACTTCAGTGGATATTGAATATGATCATGGTGATCTGTCCGGATACTTATCTGGTGATATAGTGAATGTGAGTTATCAAGCAAATAGTTCGATTTTGTCTCAATAATCCACAAAATTTTCTTTAAAAAAAAACATTAATTTTTGGTAGATTGGTGGTCTTAATGTTCCACATCAAATATTTGTGGAAGCGACAAGAATAGAGAGATATACCTCTCATTTAGCGAATTACGATGGTATCTTGGGAATGTGTTACCCCTTAAGAACTACTGAAGGAATAATGCCTTTTCTTACCAACATGTTTCAACAAGACCTATTGTCGAGACCCGTTTTTAGTTTCTATTTAAAGGGGCAAGTATATTTTTGTATGCCTCACGCATATCTAAAAATATCTTTTTACTTAAATAATTTGTCTTTCTATATTAGAAAATATTATCGTCCTCTTATAATAAAAAATATATAACGTGTACAGATATTCCTCGCTGATTGATAGTGAATTGATAATTGGTGGTTCAGACCCCTATCTTTACGATGGCGAGCTTACGTATGTTAGCGTTACCAACGAAGGATACTGGCACTTTAACATGGATCAGTATGTAATTATTTTCGAAATTACACGTATGCCAACTGCGAATTATATGTCAGCTAATTGTTAATGCTATTATACTTTAGGATTTATATGGGACGTAGCAAAATATGCTTCTATAACTGTGAACAAGCTATCGCTGATATGAGCATTTCCTGGATAATTGGACCGACAATGCAAATCGAAGCTATTAACAGATACATAGGACTTCAAATTAATGGAGAAACAATTGTAAATAATAAATGATACTTTCTGGAGTGGTTCTTTTTTAATAATATTAAATAAATTATTAAAATATATTAATAAATATTTGCTAATAATAAATTTTATTTAAAGGTAAACTGCAACAAGATTTATGATTTGCCCAGTATCTACTTCGTCATAAGTGGTAAACCATTCAAACTCAGTAGTGTAGATTATATTATTAAGGTAAAAATATTGTTAAATAACGTTATAAAATGTTTTAGAATAAAAACATTATGAGGTATTCAATTTGTTATAGTTCAAACAATATAATGATACGACATGTATGAGTGTCTTTAAGGACACAGTTTTGTATGAGGACAATCCGATGTGGATTTTGGGTAATCCATTTCTTCGTCAGTACTATACGGAGTTCGATATGGAGAACAATCGAGTGGGATTTGCCCCTGCAAAATAAATAATATTTTAAGATGCTACTGTTAAATGACTGAAGATTTAATAAATGACAATAATAAGCGTATAACAATTAGGTAATTAATTTTTCTTTAGAAAATTGTTGATTGATTCTTATGCTTATTGCCTAATATTTTTATTTCTGATTACTCAAGCGACAGGTTCTTAAGTAAATACGTACATCATATTTTGAAAATTAAAACAGAGATGTGTGATATTATTTTTATCAATGATTTGTTACAATTTATTTTTTCAACATGATATCGTATTTTTACATATACATAAACACGTTATGAATTAAAATTAAATTTATTAAAATAAAGTATACATTCTTTTGTATATTGTATATTAATTTCATATTACAACTTCTTTATTTTATTTAGTAAATATAATGTTCTAAGAGGTATTATTTCATATACTCGTATTATAATTTCTTTTCTATCATATAAATATTGTTTTTATCATCAATATTATGTATTTTAAACATGTTTTGAAGATCTCACATGGACTAGATATTAATTAGTGCTAAATAAAATATAGTGGAGGAAAATGATCAGGTGTATGATTTCTATGTATGTAAGAGAATCATATTTTCCGAATAAAATTCGCTTGCAAGTTGAAAAAATTTATATTAATACAAGTTAATGATTTGATAAGAGAAGATAACTGTGAAGCAATATATCACAAGATATAATAATAGTTAAACATTTCGCGAGGAGTGCATTACTGTTTCGCTAACTTTTTTGCAAAGATACAATCTATGAAAAAAAAGCTTCAAAAATAAATTCTGCATAAAATTGATTTCTTAATTCCAAGCTAACATGTGCGGGATTTTGTCGTTCGTTCAGCTTTCAATTTTATTACCCTTTTTGATTCCTATTTAATTATTCTCAGATCTAGAAACAGATTGACCAATTATCAATTCCAATATGAAGACTGTAGTGGCGCAAGTATATCCCATAATGAGAAAATAAAAGCTGAACGCCAGCTGTTTCAACAACATTACTTTAAAGCCATCTTTCTTTGCGTTATTCCTGAGTCTTTCGCGATTTACATCCGCCATGGAGTCAGCTCGAGATTTCACGATTAAGCCGGTCTGCGCCATATGCCGAATAATGTCGTTTACTCGTTGGTATAATGGCCAATCTTCGCGAGTAACATACGATTTTGTCAACTCGAACAGTTTTCTTGATCTAATAAGATCTTGGCCCTTAATTCTATAATAGAGATGGTGACAGTCCCCCAAGCACACAGCGTTCGTCGAATTCTCTACGAATTTCTTGCATTCATCATACGTAACATCTACGTAGTGTGATTCCAGTACAGGATCGTTCAATAATGATTTGAAATTACGCGGTCCATATATAGTGTATCCGGATTTCTGTAAAAGAAAAATATAATTCAAGTATCAAACATTATAATATATTTGACACACACACATCATAAGTATAAAATATATAAATATTAACTTACATACAATTACGATATTATCTATTAATGACGCCGCACTATAAAGCATCAATAATTTTATTTAATTTAATTTTATTTATGAGGAAAATAGTTTACATTAGATTGTGTTAAATGAATTTGTCTGTTAAATAAAATTTAAAATAATTAAAATTATAATAAAATTTTAGCAAAATCTTTGAAGCCATTAGCTTCAAATCTTCTCTTGTTAGTTCTTCTTAATGAGATATTCGACATTTACTATTTTTTCGCGGAACTCCGTTTTACCTCATAAATAAAAGATGATTGTGTTTTCGTCTAGTTTATATTGATTGTAAATAATATGAATAAAAATAAGTACTTAGATTTGTCGTCGTGTATATGAAAAGAGGACAGTAAAATAAAATTTTATTTTTACCTTAAGACTTTCTATGGTGTCAATATCGCGATAATAAATCGGCACGGTGAGTAATGCCGACAGGTGGCTTTGGAATAAAGCGTTTATGATGAGGAATAAAATCAATATCATGCATACAAAGATTCTGGTGGAACTAATTTTGGGTGGATGTAGAATTCCTACGCAGATCACAAGTCTTATCACCTGTAAGCTGGCTTTTATGTATCCCTCGCTTTTCGTGAATAGTACATAAGCTAACAGACACGTTATGGCTATTCCTATTATTACTTCTGGTGACATAAATTTTATTAGTCTGATATATTGAGAGACTTTTGAACGTGGTTGTGCTATCACACACAGGCCTGATCTTGTATGGGGATAGGTGTATCTGAAAAATCAATGTTATTTATTTTTATTATTATTATTTAATAAATATTACTCTACATTAATTTTTTATATTTATTATATTACGACGGCGCAGGATGATTGCCAATTATGAAATGTCAAAACTTTTGACTTTATTTTTCTTGTAAACTTAACGTAATTAGAGTATTCTATCTTTTATTCGAATTCATAAAAAACGACTTTTCTTTTTGAAACGATAGAAAAAATTCCAATTTTGCAGATCTCTCTCTTTCTAATTTATTTATTGACTTACCTGACTTTCCACAATATAAGCAAGGTTTTCGTGTTCATGCCAATGTCTATTTTGCCGTCTTTCAGAGAGGCCATCAAACCTTCTAGAGTACCGTTCGGTCCTATATCGCCAAGTTCGTAGATACTGCCATTATAAATCTCGATTGCTGGAGACGCTTTCAATTTGTATAATAATATCTTGATGATTTCACTATTATCGCCACGAAATTTTTTTTCATCCGATAAACTCGAATCAATTTTTATATACGGTTCCATCTCGACGGCGTTTAATCGGATCGTATAGCCTTGTAAAGTGACCGTTTTATCAAAATTCAGATTTTTGCACATCTTGTTTGTTTCTACAGAAAACATAATAATTATTGTATAAATTGTAGTTTAAAAATGGCTTGTATTTTAAAATGCATAATAGTACAGATAATATTACAAGCTTATTTGTTTCGGAACATTTATTACTTATTAGCTTGTAATTAGTTCTAACATTTATTTTTTAATTTATTAAATATGTCTATTTAACAACATATATATTAGATCTTATATGATATATATATATCAGTTTTTCTAATATCATAAAAAATCTTTTTAAGTTTAATTAAAGTTGCAAATCATTATGTGAGTGGTTAATATATGGTATATTCGTAAAACTCAGTATAATTAATAATGTTTTTTAGAACAACGTAATATTTTTAAAAACTTTTTTATAAAATTGATGTAATAAAAAGTAATAAAAATGAAATGTCCTTTATTAGGACACTGAAAAATTAATTTGTCCATGTGTTCCATCGGACATAAAGAAATTACCCTTTTCAAATTTTCTTTTCAACATTATCCAAGGATGTCCCTCTCGTCCTTTCATACGGCTTACTTCATTCCAATCGGTTGGCGTACTGTTAGAATACGGATTAAATGTGTAATAAACAATTCCATCGTTTGGATCGATACATGGAAACATAACTGAGAGTAAATTATATCTCCAAGCTGTCCAGAGAAATGAACGAGCGTTTATACAGCCTCGTGTTTCAGTTTCCTTATCGATTATAATATAAAATCCATCCGGATTCGCCCACGGCGAATCTTTTGTTCTCTGTAATGATAATTATAAATGATACAACGAAACTAATATATATTATTTTTACTTAGAAACAAAGCTGATTAATCTTGGACTGATAGCTGAATCTCTCTACTCTAGACTCAAAGTATTTTAAGTATCGTCTAATTAATGGATATTATAGTAATTAATTTTCGAAGATTACTTGTACATTTTTTTTTATTACAAGGTTCTAAAAAATTAAACCCAAAAATTGCAGCTTTTTTATTGTTGTTTTATGTACTACAATACACTTACGAGTATATGTGGAGTAACTTCTTATTATCCAATAGAGTTAAAAATAATCCGAAGAACTACAGTTCTTTGAAGGATATCCCTTCGCAAGGTTCATATTCTTATGAAAAAAATTAAATTTTTAGAGAAGGATTTGATTCTAACAAGAAAATCTAAATGAATCAAATACTTAAAAAATAAGTTAAAAATTGGGTCACAATTCCAGCCGTATGGGCGGATGCGTTGTTATACAGCAAAAATCTCTTTCCATCGATCTGGTCAAACACATTAAATTCTTTTGTAAAGTGATCTAGTATTTCCAGATTGAAGTGACAGTTTAATTAAATTTAACGAATCTTCGCAATGTTTGTATTGGTCAAACTCATGATGAAACAGCCTTTTATCAGCATCCTCAATCGACTCTCGGCTTTCTTTGATCTTTTAAACTATTCACTTTCGAAGATATCAAATAACAAATATATTCATTACTATACAAGTAATTTTCAGGGCTTCGAACATTTCCGTAGCTGTTTCCTCAATTTTAAAATTAAATTTGATTACTACGTTTTTTGTTTCATAATTATTTTTATAACTCACCAAAAAGTCTAAAAAAATTTGATAGTCTTATTTTTAATACAGAATAACCATCTGAATCCAACGCACACTTATAGAGAAATGATGCCATTAAAAATTTTCACAAGTCTATGGTAGATGGATATTGGATCATCTATATTTTAATTAAAAACGTGTGTCAAAACATTCTTATACAATATATTAAATTTATTTTAATAAATGAAATTTTTTGTAGAAAAATACGATTACTACTGCTTTTTTATACAAACTGACGATGCTGGGGAGAAATAAGTATACATTAAACACTTAACTTTTTTCTTCTTCTACATCCAATCCTCTCACTTTTCAGTTTCTACAAATATTACGTAATTTTCAAATTTTCTGGATATGCTTTCGTACTGTAACTATATATGAGTTAAGAAATTTGGTAAGAATTTCAAGCGTTAGACAGGCGATGACTTAGCGAGTAAAAAAAGATAAAGGAAAAGATAGCAACGGCGTGGTTGCAACAGGAAAGTTACGATAGCATACATTGCTAATTGGCTAATTTAAAGTAAAATATTCTCATTGATAAAGCAGTAAAAAGTTACTAGGCACCGATCAATGTGAGTAGATTTGTATTATCGCATTATGCGCTAACGGGATCCTTCCGTTTGCAGTAATCGACGCCGATCAGCTGATGATAACATTGTAATTTTTCGAATACTCGTCAGCGCGTTGTAATTTGTATAGTTTTGGTTTATTTACCGGAATTTTTTCTTAATTTCGGCCGAAACTGAAATCAAACCGAAACTTTGTGTTTGCGCATAAACGTCGCCAAAAGTTAATTTTTGCGCGCTCATACACATAGCGGCGCTTGTCTATGCTGCGATCTAGCGACGCAACATTGCATGCGCATATAGTGGATTGTAACGGTTAACAGTTGAGTTCGTCACGACGTCAGTACGCGACAAACGAATTTTGTAAAAGCAAGAGGAAATAAAGCGAAGAAAAGGATACGTGCGTAACGAAATTCTTTCATCCCGCAACACTTTGATTTTTAACCGAAGCCGAAATAGAGATTAAAAACGAAATTTAATTCGGACTACAAATTTGTTCTTTTTGACATATGTTGTACCTATTTCTTATGATTCTAAACAAATGTCTCTATTGCCACGTTTATATAAAATCAGATAAAAAGATACAGCGCTTTGAATCTTTATTAACTCGCTTTACTGTTATTAACTGGTCTCCTCATATTTTACTTATACACATGTTACATACTTAATTTGCATCGTTGTTTTCTGCATGATAACATAGATCATGCAGCATTTCGTTGTTACGATATCATTATTAGTGGAAGACATTTTGCATATAACTTTTTTCATAACACTTCAACGTGTACGCAGTTTCTCAATTAAATGATCAGTAATTAGCTGATTTTAATTTTAGTTATTCAATCGCATTTTTAATTCGCATTATTTATTTTATAATGTCATCGGATTGCACGATAATGTTTCTCACATGACAGGCGACCAAAGTTGATCAAAGGATGAAATTAATTATCGCTCTGCTGATGGTTATCGTTGCCGTATTCTCGACGACGGTCCTAGAGGAGGATGAGCACATACACTTACCAGGATGTAACTGTGAGGATGCACCGCCTTGTCCTGATGGTAGACCCTGCGTGATGGAATTACCTCATTACAATGTTGGAACTTGTGGCATGGACGAGATACCAGTGTGTGGACCAAAACCCTGAACGCCCGAAGGAAAAACTATTCTGTATCTTCAATTTTCTGTGCTGTATCTTTATGTTTCTTATGATGAATAAAAAATATTGAAAATTGTTGATACACAATCACTGTGCAGTTAAGCGGTACTTAAATGATCAATATTATTACATAATGTTAAACACAAAAAGGACATACTATATGCAAATAATTACTTATTTCAATTCAAGTATTATATTTCAAAAGTTTATATATCTATACAATTCTACATTAAGTTTATCACTAGCTTTAAAAATTTATTTAAAATATATTTTAAATCCTGTGTAGCGAGTTTAATATTTCAATCAAAATTATTAAATCGCCATTCTCAACGTATTAATTAAAATTATTAAATTAAAACAAATTTGATTTGCTTATTATTATAAAGTCGCTACTCCGATTAATTTTATAAAATATTCTCAACTCTCAGTTATAGTACGGGGATATGGCATAATCAAAATGTTTGAAAATTATATAATGTTTGTAGAAATCAGAAAGTGAGGGGATACGTTATTATAGAAGAAAAAAGTAAAATATATAATGTATACTTTCCTTTGCGTCACACAGTGATCTAAATCAGTTGCATAGCTCAAATAAAAAGAATTTAATTTAAATATTTTGAGCGTTTTTTATATTGTTATAAACGTTCCAAAATATTAAAAATTATAAATTTTCATCGTTAATGATAATTTACAATGGCGTATATAGTAAGGTAATTTTGTTTATGCTCCCGAATATTAACATACAGTCGCGCTGACTTTGACGATGCATTTTTAATTGTTGCTATTTACATAAAATGTGTTGTTTATGTGATTTTAACGGAATGAACTCTAGTCAGGTAATTTCTTAATAGTTTTTTATATTTAGTATTAAATTTAATATTGATTACTGCAGTTATAGATTAATTGTTCAATATTTATAACATTAAACTGCGAAAACTCTAAGAAATCGATAAAAATATTATTTTTACCTGCAAAATAGATCGCAACATGGGCTGAGAAGATGCCACTAATATAAAGTTGTGTGATTTTCGAAGGAAATGGATGAAGTTGTAGCTCTCATACATCTTGAAGGAATATCTTGTTAATGCAAAATTTTTTAGGGCATTTAATTGAGGACTCGTTTCTCCTATTAAAGCTACTGGTATCCCAATAAAGAACGCTCGTTTAAGAAATTCATTGTAATCTCCACCTAGTAGTAAAGTTAGTTCCGATTTTTTTGGATGACATCGATATAGAATTTTTACCTACAAAATTAATATGATTTCTCTACAAAAAAGAAAGTTAAGTAAAAAATTTTTGAACGATCACTTTTGTTTTCTTAATTCTCCATCGGCAATATAAAATTTTCGATTATTGTCTACAATCTAGATCGTTGAGATCCACAGCAGATTTTATCAGTATTTTAAATTTCGGAAATCTCTTACCATTGCAGTGACTACGTCTTTGTAGATAAATTTTTCTTCTACCGATGTGTTATTATTAATAAGACCGTGGGAAGACACACTTACGATTAATAGCGAGAACAAAACATAGACAGATACGTTCAACATGTTTTTACAATTTTCACTGTTGTCGCTGCTCTGATGGAAAATGATTGAGTGTTGGACATGCTTTATAATATTGTTTTACGAAAAGACAATTTTTTTTTATTTTTATCAGCATGATCGACAGATTTTATGTTTAGATAAGCGCGTGTCACAATTTACTTTCGTAACGTTTTTTTACACTCTCTCTCCCTTATTCATTTAGATAAATAATAATAGCATTGAATTTGACAGGCTGTTATTATATAAAGAAACTATGATATCGAAAGAAACAATAACTGCATTAATATCATTCATTTGGTATAAAATATAAATGAAATAATACGATGAACGATCTTGTTTCGGTATAATATAAGAGTTAAGCGACAATAGAGTCTAACGCGACAATAGAGTCTAACGTAATTGAACTGACTGAAAGATATTTAACTTCAGCTTCGTTACGTACTGTTTGAGCGTATTTATTGCACAATTATATACATATACCATATACACGAGGATGAATTAAATTGGTTTACTTATCATTAATTCTTACCTAGTTTGTGACCAAAAACTGCTCATAAAATGTTGTATAGTATTTTCAGAATTTTTACTGGACAAAAATTGCATAATATTTTATTACTATTTTTTCATTCATAGTTTATGGCCAATGATTAACCGTTAAATAACAGTCAGTATTGTCTGGACAATTTTTGAATAGTTACTGTCTAATTAATCCTAGTCATGAAAAACTATCTAGTCCCTGACTAGTAACAACCTTTTCCATGAAATTTTTTTTACTCATTTTTTAAATAGAAAAATGGTATACATTTTTTCTGATATGATATAATTCTATTTTTGCAAATTTATCTATATGAAGTATTAAAGTAACTTTAGTCACAGTTAATTCTATCGAATATTTTTCTAAAAAATAATAATTTTAGCATAATTTTTTAAAATATTTATATATAATTTTGCTTTATAAAATTTACGTTTTTTCTGTCTAAATAAATATTGTCTACATATTTTTATATATCAATTATTTCTTATTTTTCACGCTAATGTATTTGTCCCATTAATTCTCACAATGATTGCGTGATGACAAGCGCGATTTGTACATACTTTCACGCTTTTAGCTGTTTCCGATAAAAGAAGATAACATAGTATAGCTGAAGAAGATAACAATTCGTTAAAATTTGTTATGTTTAAATATTAACGCTTTCTGATTTGTAAACAAAGAGAGACCGTTATAATATCCCGTCAAAATAAATGAAAACATTATGTAATAATTCTATGTTCTGTGTTAGAAAAAAGCAGAGTATTACTATTGGAGTACAAATTACAAAATTATAAAATATTTTTTTAGTAGAAATTCTTGTGTTATTTTAAAATTTGTTTTACTCGTGTTAACAAATACTTCAAAATTAAATATTTAACAAATAAGTGTACATTACCAGTGGCAATTAAAACGTCATCTCTTATATCTTTGCAAAATTTATAAATTTTAAATGAATGTAACTTCTACAAAAATGGTGAAAATAAGTCGTTCACAAAAGTATTATGTAGCTTAAAATCTCTACTTTTTAGAGGTACCAAAAATTTTAATTTTTAATTTTCTTATGTGCTCAACATATAAAACCACACACACACACACACACACACACACACATACACAAAGCGTTAATCCGACTGTACAACCCCTACGTAATACGACGCTTTGGATAACGCTATCAGCAGTGATGGTATGTTGCGATATATGGATATAAGATTAGATTCAATACAGCGAATGCCGTCTTATCCAACGTCGTAACTTCGAATATGAAGGATATTAATTTAAAAATGTCGCAACTGTTCTGTTTTGGCCTCTTTGAAATCAGTAGATAATTAGATATATAGGTATACTACAGTAGTTACGTTTATGTGTATTTAAACCGCAGCCTATATTTCAAATTCGACTTTCAATTATTTAGGCTCTTTGGTGTTAACAGTTGATAGATGACCTATGGTCAGATCTCAATTTTTAAATGTAAAACTAAGTTAACATTATAGTGTTTCTCTCCTTTTTTTTACCGAAATAGATCGAGTTGAATAGAAACAGATAATTGTTTCAGTTTTTAACTTTACATTTCACTTACATTTTTACATAAAAAGCTTATCTGTTAAAAAATGATAGAAGCATTTTAAAGAGAAAACTTTGAACTTTTTTTTTATGAGTGTTGTATGTTATACTCCGTTCGTCTTTTATGAGCAATTAAAGTCAAAAAGACCATTTTTCCTTTAATGTTGAATAATTCGGTAAAAAGAAATCGTACAGATGTCAATAAAAGAAAAAATTAAAGCGCTTTTGAAAGCTGTGTAGTGTATTTGTGTCCGACTTCTCATTCACTGAATGAAACTGTGCAAAGCTCACAAAAAACTTCGAGATTTTACTGATCTTTCTTTGTAATCATGTAGCACCGTAAAAATCAGTCGAATTGTTATTTTAAATACAGATCTGAGAGAGAAAAATAGAGATTTTAAGCCACAAAATGCTTTTTTGAACGTCTCATTTTGACCATTTTTGTAGAAGTTACATTCATTTAAAGTTTATCCATTTTTCGAAGGTGTGAGAGATGATGCTTATTTAATGCCCACGGATAGTATATAATAAAATTAAAATATTTTTTTGCATTATATATATACAGATAACGCGTTACACATTGTGTCAACAAAAAATTGAATTGGTGACTTCAATTAATTCACGAGTTTGATTCAAAGAACTCGAAGTTAAGCAGGAATTTCAAGTAGGAGATTACAAGAACTTCGAAACGCGGAGGTATTGTGCCAGACAGTTTTATTTTGCAGACATAACGCGACCACTTAATACGCGGCGCGAGCGAATTGATGACCAGTTAAACGATGAGGAGACTGTCGCGGTCGTAATGAATGACGAGATAAGCGAAGATGAGTCTTCAAGGTGGGAGATTTCCCCACTATTCGCATCCGGGAAAAGACGAAAGAGAGCCAGAGCGCAGAAGATAGTTTCGAGCAGCCGGTCGCCGGACGCGTGTCTGAGATCCATTTCGCATTCTCGAGGAATCGTGAACCGGTTCCACGGGAAACGTGCGACGCGCTCTGGTCTAAAAGGAGCAGAAACAATGCGTTATCCACCGGGAATCGTGCAAAGGACATTGTCCCTGATTCTGTTGCTCGCGACGGTCCACACAAATTCGGCGAAGCAACCGCACATTATCTTCATTCTAGCAGACGATTTGGCAAGTTGTCTTCCGAGGTTTGCGATAAATTAAATCCAGGCTTCAAGATGCTTTAGAAATAATAAATTATTAAAAAGTAAAAATAGAATGAAAATTTATTTATTGACAAGTTAAGAATTTTGTCGGACGAGACAATTTCTGTTTAGTACTTATTTATGTGCATTGGTAAGAATATTTAAAGAGACGTAGAAATATTGTATAGATATGTCAATAATGTGAAAAAATTAAATGAAAACTAAATGAAGAATTTTGCAATGACAGGTTCGAATTATACAAACGAAGTATTACATTTAACTTTTAATAGAAGTTTATCAGTGACGCGTAACGTTAGTCCGTAATATCTCTTTCTGTTATTCGTCCTCTCTTTGAGAGATACTTTGCATATATTCTGGAAACAGTTTCATTGCATTGAAAATCTGATTAAAAATGAACAAATTTGAATTTTCTGGTTGAATCTATTAAAATTCTAGTTGAGATAACACTAGAATTTTTTTTGATTGACATAATCAGAATCATCTGGTTCGTTCATTTAAACCAGAACTTTTTCTTAGTGCTCCTATAAATGTATGCGTTATATTTTATAAATACACGCATTTATATTTTTGTTATATTATATTATAAGGTTTTTTAGAATCCAGCAACAAAAATAACGATAAATAACGTCAGTTTATTTACTCCTCAGTAAACAAGCTAACGTTATTTGTCGTCATTTCGACATCAAAATAACATTAGAAATGTCACTCTGTCATTAAAATGACAAATAATGTCATTGTTTCCTGAAGGGTAAATAAAATAATGAATATTGTACGTAACATCTCTTCTGTTTCACAAGACGTTGTAAATTAATGCAAATTTATCACAAAGGTTAAACAAGCTACAAATGTATGAGAAAATGTTAAATTATGATAAAACAGAATCGTAAATAATGTTACACTTAAATTTAGCCTTATTTTCATCAGGGATGGAACGACGTCGGCTTTCACGGTTCCGGTCAAATCCCAACACCAAATATCGATGCACTGGCATATTCCGGGCTGCTCCTCGATAGATATTATGTCACTCCTATCTGTACACCGTCCAGAAGCGCTTTAATGACCGGTAAACATCCTATTCACACAGGAATGCAGCACGGCGTAAGTGTTTTTGCAACGTCTTACATCGTCTTCCTTTATCAAAATTTATGCATGTGACATATCAAAAATAGGTAGAAGATTCGAGCACAAATAAGAACAATAAGTAAATTTACTTTACAATACGATCAAATTTACTTGCTTAAAGAATAAATAGCGATTCTGAAGTAAATTTACATACAATCAAATTCACTCACTTAAAGTCTGAATTTGTTTCAATTTAAAAAAGTTACAAGTTGCTTATTAAAATGGCGATAGTTCAATTTTTTTTAACTGCTGTTATACTTATCAGTAAATAAGTACGATTAAGAGTTATCAATTAGCGGAAACGTTATTGTTCTATTTGCAGCAGAGTATAAAAGGAGATATTGTATACGCTTGTATTCTCTTTTGTCATGTTGACCCAGATAGTTCAATTGGAAATTATCATATTGAGCGATAGTTGCTACTTCATTCGCGTTTTCACTACCTATATATGCGCGTATCTATACACATATGCATCTGACAAAAGATCGCGTTCAGTTCAATGCATCTCTTTTGCCTTTTGCTATCACGAAATGAATAACGTTGAGTGAATAATGCATCTTTCATGTAATTTTTTAATTTATATTAAGGGAATAGATTTTCTAATGCTCTTTAAAAATCGTTTAAGAAACGTTTAACGAATTTTAGATAAAATTTCTTAATCTTCTTATAGAGATAAATATTGCATATTTGCAAATTTTACTCTAAAATTAAATTTGATAAAATAAATTCGAAGTAAATTATCTCTTTAGCTTTCTCTCTCTGTGCAGATTAATTACTTAAAAGTTGAAAATGAAAGTGTACAGAAAAAACAATTTTATTGAAGTATCTGAAAGTAATTTGGTTGGACACCATCAAAATTATGTAGAAATCTTTAAACATCCATTAATTGAGACGTTAACAGTAAGTTTATGACGATGATTGTGATGGTTTAAATAGTTGCAAAAGAAAGACATTCCGCATTTCAGGCAACTAATTTAAATTGCCTACATAGTATTGATGATTATATTAATAAATTAACGATTATGAGGATAGTTAATAATATTGATAATTTAAAAAATTATTTTTAGATCTGTACTTAGTTAAATTTTTAGATACTTTAACAAAATAAAATCAACAAGATTTTTAATCAGGTTTATTAAAAAGCGGTACTATATGTTATTATAAAAAAATTTTTCAACATTACACGACTTCTTGAATAATTCAGGTTCTCAAAGGTGCGGAGCCGAGAGGATTACCACTTCACGAGAAACTATTACCGGAATATCTGCGTGAGCTTGGATATAGCACGCACATTGTCGGTAAATGGCACCTAGGATTTTACAAAAAGGAATACACCCCCACTTACAGGGGATTCGATACTCATACTGGCTTCTGGACAGGTCATCAGGATTATTTCGATCACACGGCCGTTGAAAACGTGAGCGACTATGTATTAAATAAAAACATAATTTTTATTATTTAATCTAATGTGATAAAAACTGCAGCCTTACTGGGGATTGGATATGAGACGGGGTATGCAACCGGCGTGGGATCTACACGGTCAATATTCCACGGATATTTTCACGAAAGAGGCGGTGAGATTGATTGATAATCACAACTCTAGTCGACCTATGTTCCTATATTTGGCCCACGCGGCCGTGCACTCCGGAAACCCTTATAATCCGCTTCCGGCGCCAGACGAGGAAGTGGCTAAATTCGACAATATCTTTGATTATAATCGAAGACGTTTTGCAGGTAAAAACGGTTTAAAGGCTATAGTAATGAGAGTTAATACAAAAAATGGACTATTAATTAAATAGAAAATATATAAAATTTTTAGAAAATATCATGATGACACTAAAATTATGTATTAATATAATAAGCTGATTGATAATCTCAAAATTTGATATAGGTGTGCTAAGCAAACTGGATCAATCCGTGGGGCAAGTAGTTGAAGCTCTGCGTAAAAAAGACATGTTGAAAGATAGTATAATAATTTTCTCATCGGACAACGGTGGACCTGCCGCTGGATTTAATTTGAATGCAGCGTCTAATTGGCCACTGAGAGGGGTAAAAAATACTCTTTGGGAAGGTAATTTTATTTGACTATTAATAAATTAGATAATTACGCAAACATTTTAATATTATTGAAACGTCTTGATTAACGAGTAAATTTTATTTATTTAGCAAGAAAATATCTTTAAAAAAATTGTTTTTAATCATATATTTTTTATAATTATATTCGTAATTAGTGTATTCGTGTTTTTAAAGACTTGCGAATTATCTGTAAAATTAGGACTTTATTGAATTAATATCTTACGAAGATTTAATTTAAAAATTTACTAACTATAATTTTTGTACCGACCGTATTGTCTACAAACAATGAAGGAATTAAACGCCTATAACGGTCAAAGCTGGATCAAAGTGCTAATAATAAGTATGAGTGAATTCTTATATACCACATATGTAGCCCCCCCTTTTAAATGCGCGCTGATACATCAGACATATAACGCATAAATACTACAGTAGTATTATAATATCACCGAATAATACTTGATTAATTTAAATATAAGGATGATAATTTAAAATTCGTAAATACATCGGATCTCAATAATCTTATTCTTTATATTACGAAAAATATCACAAATTAAAAATTTACGTTTTAAAAGCCATTTTTAATTTTTTATATCCATAAATAAATAATCTTTAATTCTTTCTTATCGTAGGTGGCGTCAGAGCTACGGGATTAATATGGTCACCCAGACTGGTGCGACCTGGCCGCGTAAGCAGGCAGATGTTACACATTACCGATTGGCTGCCGTCACTTATAACAGCCGCCGGTGGTGATCCATCAAACTTAACTATTGACGGCATGGATCTGTGGAATGCGCTTAGCGAAGATACTGAGTCACCGCGCTCGAGCGTTCTTCACAATATTGATGATATTTATGATGTATCTGCTATAACGGTCGGCGACTGGAAACTTATTCAAGGTAAAAGAAGGATCAAAATATTTTATTCTATAACACTCTAAATTGAGGAATCGTTCCATACGATATAGTGAATATAGATTATCTTGCAATATTGCAGCAACATTGCAACGTGTATAAGTACACACAGAAAAAAATTTTATTATACCAAAATTATGTAGAAAACTTAAACATAATGAGAAATACAACAAAAAGTTTTGACATCTCAGCAACCAGCTTGAGTATTTCACGTAATTTATGTTAGTAGTCCAACAAAATTATTTTCAAATCTATGTCTAAATTTTTGGATATTTCTGCAAAATTATTCTTTTCCTATATATCAAATACCTGTATAAACGAGAATTTCTTTTTATATAAAATTTTTTTATATGAAATAAAAATACAGAAAACATTTTTTAATTTTTTTACTGTAAGATATCAACTAATTAACCAAAACCCCTACAGTCGGGCTGTGTGGCTCCAAGACGAGACAATTGCTTGCTAATACAAGTAAACTCGAGCCCTCGATTCAAATCCCGACACTGGTGGAGCGCCTGACATTTTTCTTGGTCTAGCTCTTACATTACGTCGTAATTTTTCTCTTGCTTTGGAAACGCATTTTCCTCATATAACTGAAAGCTTCTTCATGCCGTCATTATAAAAGGAAGGTATTGTAAACGTATTGTGAGTCAATTGCACACCAAGGCCTCCACTTGTCTGCAAAACGGCTTCTCTTCCAACATCTCTTTCAGGGATCCAAACATGATAAAGTCACATGGACTTTTAACTATGTGGTCCAAAAAAGAGTCCCCTTCTCGTATCGATTCAGAAGCCGGCAAATGTTAAAACGAACAATTTTGTGCTGTTCCATACAGGAATGTGAGAGGGTTGATTCCCTGAATCGTTGGCGTAATCTATGGAGAATTTCGGCTGGCCGAACCTCCTCCTTTGTCAAAAATGTAATTATAATGCATATATCTGTTGCGCAACGGACGGATGAACCTCTTTTTCGCTCATCTTTTTGCAGACTGCCGTACCGAGGACGCTCTCTTAATATCCTCACCAAAACATCCTTAACTTTATATCGTCCTATTTTACCTTCTCTAGGGTCCAGAATGAAATTTTCGTTTACATATTTGATTCACCTTCGTATATATTAATTCAACTCGATTTTCCGTAGGATCCACTTACAAAGGAGCATGGGACGGATGGTATGGTCCATCTGGTAGGGAATGGGTCTACGACGTGGACAAGGTGATTCTCAGTACGACGGCACGTGCCATTGCCAGTATAGGATTAGGCATTACCACAGAAGTTGTTTTGATGTTGCGTGAAAACGCGTTAATCAAGTGTCCGCCGCGAAATGATAGTCTGCCCATTTGCAAACCAATAGAGGAAGCATGTCTTTTCAACATCTATCAGGATCCTTGCGAAGACAATAATCTTGTTAAACAGTGAGTGGAACACGATATTATTTTGATATAATTCATTAAGAAATTTTATTTTAATTTTTAAACTAATTTTGTAATTATATCAATCTGTTTTTTTTTTTTTTTCACGTCAAAGGTTTCCTACGATCGTCAGGAAACTGCAGGACGAACTGAAAAAGTTTAACAATAGCGCACTTCTGCCCGGAAACCTTCCGTGGGACAGTAAAGGTGATCCAAATTTGTGGGATCATACTTGGAATAATTTTGGAGATTATATTAATGTTATGGTAAACTCTGCAACCTCTGATCGATTATAATCTCAAGAATTTTATTTTTTCCTGTAAAGTAATATACAATTCTTATAAAATCAGAAAATGTGCTGCTCATGTTAGTATATATTTGTACGAGAAAAAAATTTATACAACTGTAAAAATATTTAATCTTTGTTCTTTTATCTTTATTTATATGCATTATAATTAAACAAATGTACGTCATCAAGAGATTGTAAAAATATTTGACAACGCTAAAATTAGGTGTTATTTTTATTTATAAGACAATGTATCGACCTTATGTTTTGTTGCTCAATTTGTTAATGTTATTTTAAAACAGTGATTTTGATATATTTAAAAAAGAAGCGCATGTGTGTACATAAAGAACTTTATTATAGGTAGGCAAATAAATCGAAATAAAAAATTAAAATAGTGACTATTATTTCTTAATATATATAATCAAATGATTTCGACTTGATACTTCAAGTTGTTAAGATTGGATTTCTTGTCATTGTGTGTGTTATTTTCCTATAAATTTCTAATATAACCAATATTAGATTTGTCTAACTGATACATCTCCATTACTTGGGCGCATCTGAAACACGAAATTGTTTTGTAATATGCCAAGTTTTACGAGTGTTATATACTTAATACCGCTTTATGGATCAATTACGTATCAAATTACGTATCAAACAAGTTTTTCAGTATCACAGATCGCAAATCATTTGTCATTTTGTTATCAATAATTATTGCTATCAAGGAATAAGAGCGAAAGAAACTCGGTTTCGATCCATGCTACTGAATGAACTTTAAGAACTTGTTCTCCTCGTCAGATTGATTTACCCGCAACGAGAAGGTACCCATTCGAGTCCACTAGTGCAGATTTCCTCTTCCTTGTTGCAAGTGCATTTGCACAATTTTTCATTCCAGACCATCTGTCTCTCTTTATCACACTTTCTTTTATTCTTGCATTCGCACGCGCAGTTATTTTCTGAATATACCTGATGAATGTTACAATGATTTTCTGTCACGCTACATTGACATCTAAAAAAATCATATTCTTCAACAGTGAACATAAAACAAAATTAACATAAAACATTAGTAATGGACTTGTTTTATATAGAATCGCATTTTTTGTTAAAACACTTCCACTTTTCTAGCTTTTTTAGTTGTTAAAAATTTAATTACAAAAAAATATAAAGCTTCAATATGCTTGAAATAAAAAAAAAATATGTTTATTAATATAAATATATAAATTATCATAATTTTTCTTTATAAATAAAGAATCAAAGTCTCAGTTTGGAAATTACAGATTATTTTAAAATAAAACAAACGATTGAAATATATAGGATTATATCGCGTTATATATGCGATTGTATATATTATGGTCTTTTATCAATCGTCAAATAATAACCATCTAAAAGTAAAAGTCTAAAAATAAACACGAAAGCAGAATGAAAAACTATCTTACTTGCATTTGGTGTGCTCCTCGAGCAACACATGATAACACTCGCTTGAGTTATAACCATCCATTCTCACGGCGATCTTTCTAACATTTTTGCGAACTGGCATGCATGATTTATTCCTCGGACAGAAACCGCTGCATCTTTTCACCGACGCATAATTTGGATAAAAAGTATAACCCGATTGCGGTATTAATTTTACTAAAGTGTGCCTTGGCACGCACATTACCTCTTTCATCTGATGATTTAATTGCATACGTCTCCCTGCGCATCCTATAATTGAGAAATTCACAAGAATTCATTTAAAAAATCAGTCATTTCTGTACTAGATTACTTGAAAAATGAATAATGAGAAAATAAGCCATTCTATATATTCAACTCTTTGAGTTATTACCAGTAAACAACTGTTATTAGTATAAAGTAAGAGGTCAATGATTATCAATATGTTCAATAATTTCCTTGCATTTGAAAAAATAATTTTATATTTTCCTCAAACATGTAAAAATAATGTGCGTGTTTATATACTGTGCAAGATGTATAAAAAATCAATAAGGAAATTCTTTAGAACAAAAAAGAAATGCAAATAGAGTCCATTTCAATCATGCATTATTACGTATAAGATTGTAATAATTGGAATGCATATAATAAATCGTAAAAGTAAAAAAAGATAACATATAAGATTGAAGATAGATGAGAAATCTTCTACATAAAATTCAATTAGTAGCAATAGTTGATTATGTAAAAACATATATGTATATAAATAAAATAAAATGTACTTTATATTTTTTGTTCAGAAATAAATAAAATTAAATAAACTTTCTATCGTGTAGCATAATTTAATTGACATTATATATCCTAAAAATATAATTTTTTTAAATACTGTAATTTTACACAACACTATGATCTTTTTCTACAACTATAGTCTGAACACCTACGCGCATGAAAACCGATATTCATGTTTTTATGCGCGCGAGTATTTAGGCCACACTTTTGGCATAGAACCATAGTTGTGTAAAGTTACGGTATTAATTTATACTTTATATATACATCATAAAACTGTTGATAAGATGCAATTATTGTTGGTAGGAATCAAATATTAGAAACTTCTATATAAAAATATATTTTACAGTTAATATCATTAAAAGAAAACTTTATGAGTAAATACCTATCGCCACTCCCTCGTGTGGTCGTAATTCATCGTCGGTGAATCGCATGCCTTCGGTATAAATCCATGTGATCGCTAAAGCACATACTACTATAAGAAACTTCATGATAACGTGTAATATACGGAGTGCTCTAACAAAGTGCTCCTAATGCGGCGTATCATTAAATAATGAGCATATTAAAATTTCTTCTTCGTTTATTTATAGCGACCGGAAGATGTAGTGGCGATGTGCGATGTGCGGTTTTAAATCTCAGCCGCAAAATGTCTATTAACTTCGCAAGATAAAGAAGGAAATTCCGCTATACAGAATGAATATTTCCCGCCTGACGTTCTACGAAAATGCAACGATTTGATATATTATACTGATTACATAGTAATCTAAAATACACATGCACTTGATAAACTAAATTTATATATTTATATTACTCGTTATCAAATTTGATATTAATATACAAGAGATTGCAAAGTATAAAACTGAAAACGCAATTTTAATATCTGTGATAATTAAAACGACATTATGATTTTCTCTTCTTTTAATGTCTTTTCTATCTCTTCTTTATAATCTATTTCTTTTTATCTTTTAGGCTGGGTTGTTCCACTTTTCGGTAAATTTTAGCTCATTGTCTTAATCTCTTATGCTTTTACTCTTTCACTGTTTTATTTGCTTAACAAGTAAATTACAACATAGTTTATCTGAAAATGGAACATCTCATTTATCTTTAATTTCATATTATCTTTTATTTTTATATTTGTATAAATAGTCGATTAAAAAATGAATGCATTAATTAATTAATCAAATTTTAGAACATGACATTTTTTATTTGAAAAATTTCTTTTTTATTCAAAAAAGAATCACAAAATGCTGTCGCACTACTTTGCAGTACGATCCAAATGATTTGTAAATAATATTTGATTTATTATTTAAACTATACATTGTTATATTTCTTGTGGGCCAATTGTCAATATACGTACAAAGTAAAAAAAGGAAAGTATTGAAATTATAATTAAAATGTATTATACTGTCAGCTAAAATGTTAAAATAGGTCCTTCTCGATGATCCAGAATATCTGTAACAGAAATTATGGCGGTTGAAGAAAAGAAGATTGAACGCGGTTTATAATATTATATTTGAATTGGAGGCAAAATTAATTTAATATCCAGGATTATACCAACGTGTTTCATTAATAGAGACACAAACAATTTTATACAAGCACAATGCCGAGAAACTTTCAAACATTCCATATAGATATTAAAAATAAAAATATATGTTCATGTAATCTGATTTCGGTTTGACTTACCTTTCGCTATGCTCCACCATGGTAACGTAATGTACGTTAAAAAGGCGTTCAAAGGTACAGACTGTGCTCGCTTGGTCTCTTTCCAGAAATGGAAGGTTTGGGTAAAACCTCTCATCGTCCAAAGTGGATTATACGCCCCGTCATCCAACTCTGAAAGGAAAGAGATATTATTAATTACAAGCCAACTCGAAGCTTGTATATAACATATTTCATGTCCTGCAATAATAGGACGGTTGTTTGAGTACAGGATAGATATTCATTCGAGCAATGAAACAGACACAAGCTTCAAATCGTAGGAAATTAAATGCATCCTTTGATTAGGTTGTTACGAGTCACAGTGAAAAAGATGAAAATATGTTAAATATATGTATATGATGTTGCAGATTATGCATAAGAATTACGGATGCACAAGATAGAGAGAGCAAATAGAGGACATATTTTCCAGCAAGGATACAATATAACACAATAAATTATTTCATCCTTGTTTAACTAGCAAATAACAAAGATGTAATAACTCATTGTGTCATCCATGTGTTCTTGCTGGAAAACGTCCACAGTAAAGAATATCAGGATACATCAATTTTCGCTTTTACTTCGAAAAATGTACAATGATAAACCTCATTCAAGACAGTTTTTTAATGTACTATTACATACACATATGGAAATCGCATTATGCAAGTTACACAAAGAGACAGGTCCACATTCGCTGAAAATGAATCACACACAAGAGTTCGTCGTTTACTTAAAGAAGAATTAATGCTTAGATGTTTTTATGAATTCTTGCAGAGAACGAGTATTAAAAAATAGAATTAATATTACGTTCACAAGATGAATTAACTATTAACTACCTACTTTCGATGACCGTGCTTATTATCGGTGGTGAAATTCATAATAAAAAATCATTACAAGCATTCAGAAACAACTGAAAGAGTCGTTTCTCAGACAAACTCTTTATATGGTAAACCACTACCACCATCACTACCACCCTCCGTCATATCGCGTGCAATCGCAGTCATTGCCGTTTCACCATCCCATAAACACAGTCATTGATGAATACAGTCAAACGAATGCTTTGGATTCAGGTAGTACACGACTACATTACGTACAACGATTCAATACAACAGAAATGATGATCAAATGGATTGCTCGTTCGTCGAGGGCAAAGGAAAAGGTATCTTATAGGGTGAGGGCACAGGAAGGGTAGGAAAAATTTACCCTGTGAGCCGGGGCGGCGCGGGAGCTCGCACCAGTAGTAGATCGCGGTGCCATCCGGCGTGACTCGATGAGGGGGCAAGGGGTTACCCACGAAGCTGCCTGAGAGAGCCCTTCGACGTCGTCTTCGGGGCAATGTGGCGCTCTGTCGACGTGTCGACACGACCTCGCCGTTGATGCGCGTCACATGGTGGGCGTTCGCGTTTTTGTCTTTGATCTCGTCGTTCTTGTTCTTGTTCTGCCCGTAGGCGTAGTCCTCGTGATCGGAACCGGCGCTACGCAGACGGCGACGGCTGTCAGACCGTCTTACTCTGAGTAGCTCGTCGTCGCTGAGTCGTCGACGTTCCTCGTCGTCGTTCTCTAAACCGTTATGATGATTGAACAGGTGACCAGCGCTGTAGGGACGTCGTTTTCGGTTATTATCCTCCGTAGCGGTAGCCACGTCGTAACCCAGTGGCAGTTCCTCCTTGCCGTGCACCAATATCGCGCCCGAGTCTAACTTCTGCCGGACGTTGTCATCTGTCAGGCAACGGCCGGCCGGCACTAAAATCTCACTTCCCACCTCTATGTGTTGGTGCTGATGCTTCTGCTGATGATTGTTCTGCTGGTGATTGTGGAAACCTGCCGCGAGAACCACGTCGTCATTTAGACGGCGATTGCACCCGTGTCGCGACTACAAACGATCGTGCTTCCGGTCTCTTTTCGCGCTTTGTTCTCCGTGCATTTATTTAAAAACTCAATTACTCTTTTTTCGTGCAACTTGAAACGTTTTATCCACGAGGCTTTAGCTTTATTTCAAATTAATCAAACAAATATTTAGAAAAGTCGTTTTGTTCATATTTTGTCAAAGCTTATCTCAACGGGACACGGTGACACTCGGTAATTCGGAAAAAAGCTAAACACAGAGTTTCTACTAATCACATAAGAAGCGAGAGCGTCGGCAAGAGCAGAGACAAGAGAAATTGATCGTTTTCAGCGCGAACGAGCACACTCACCGTGTGTCTCGCGATAGATCGTCTCCTTGCGTATCGGCGAGTTCTCATTCATTCCGGATCGTTCCCGGGCATTACGTTGTCGTTGCTTGTTGTGGACGGGGTGTTGTTGTAGTTGTTGCTGAGCCAACGGCGATCTTCGTCGACGTAACGATCGGGGACTCCTGCGGTTTCCCGGTGAGCCCCGGCCGCCCCAGCTGCTATCCTGTACATCGGCTACAAAGGAAAGAGCCGGCATGGCACGTGCGAGTGATTAGAGATAACAAGATACTCTTTCGTTTGTTTATTCATTAGTTTTCTGTAATCTTTCACAACAGATGTGACAATATTTAAACCGGAAGTTAGAGTGTAGTGATAGTAGTAGTAGTAGTAGTGGTGGTAGTGGTGGGTGGTGATAGTTGTTAGTACTAGTTCGTAGTGTCGGTGAAGATAGAACTGAATCTGTTCTTTTCTCTTGTATTTCTATATCTCTTTCGCTATTTCATCTACTCTTAACACTGTGCTAGTGCTACGCTAAGTTCGCCTAAAAGATTGCTAACTGTGAACACCGACCGGTCCAAGTCAAGACATTCAGAGAACGAGATACTGTTTCAATTAAGATTTTCTTTCTACGGTGCATTAAATTGCGCCGTTTAAAGAAATAAATGTCGAGAACTTCTGGAACGATAAGTCACAGTAGAAAAATCTCTTTTAACGTATACATGCGATCGTTTTCTATCACGCTTTAATGCAGTTTTGATTCACACCTTTGAAAATATTTAGCTCTATCAGCTTCGAGTCTATAGTGCCAGCATTGAGAAGAAGTGTGTTGCCGAGAACAGGAGGTGTCTGCCTGATAACATCAAGACAGTTGTGCATTACACAGATACAACATAAGAGCATGCACAGACCGAGAGTGAATGCGAACGAAATACATCGAGAAGAGAAAGATACTAAACGCTGTGTGTGTCCATATCCCATACATTTAACGTATTATATTACACCTATGGACATTCCCAGAATTTTTAGGGAGACGCCGAACGGGGAAGTAGGTTTATCAATTCTGTTATTATATAAACACACACACAATTTTGATTGAGAGTATCGCGTCTATTTGATATCGAATGGAGTACTCATTAATATCTAGCGCATATTCTATTTTTTAGCTCGAAGACCTTGAGAAAAATTTTTTTATATATTTATTAAATACGAACATTGTCAAAGTTTTATTTGACAAAAATTTTAGGAATTATTATAGTCGCGTAACAGAAAGAAAAACATTTTATGCGACAACGAAAAATTTATACAGAATCAAAAGTAAAATTGTATTTTTAATAAAAAAAATTGTATTTCAATAAAAAAAATTTTGGAGGGAGTTTAAACTTTCCAAATTTCCGTCTAGATACGCCTATGATTATATCATAAACGTCGTCTGAATTTTTTGAGCGGTCGGTTCGCAAAAAACGTCCATATTAAACGCTAAATGCAGGATATGAATACCGGTCTAAGAGTGTAGAACTAAAAATCTAGTAAGAGTAGCAAAATCTGTTCTCGATTTCATCTGTATTGTTTAATGCTGACAATTACCGTCTCGAACATCACCAGCCTCGATCTCGCTGAGACCGTTTGCCATTGAGTCGAGGCCCTCATTCTCCGATCGCGCCTTAG